GAGAATGAATAAGAGGAAGATAAATAAATGTCCAGGGAAGCAGAAAATGTGTAAGGAGTCAGATAAGTTGTGTGTGAACCTTATGTGTATTTTAATTCCATCTAAAGGATATGTGTGGAATAAATGAACTTGGGAATATTAAGGATTCATATAAGAAAACTGTTTAAACAAATATTTTGAATGAATCTTGAGTATAATTTGCCAGTAGTTATTAACGTAACAGAAGTGGGTTTCTAAACATGACACAATATGTTGGCTGGTTTATTCGTACAGGTATACTTTTCTGAACTCTTTTAGTACCACATGGTTTAGCATCAGAAAACCAAGAAGTAATGACATAATGAACTTTCACAAGTATAAGTTAATGTAACAGATGAGACAACTACAGCAACTATGAAACATACATTTATTATTAATCTACATGACTAGGGAGTGTTTAGGATAGTATTAAAATACTGTTGCAACAAATTATCTAAAATTATTGAGAATTAGATGGCGCATTAACCCTTTGGAGACTGAGCCTTTTTGGAGTATCGGTGCCAAGAAGACGAAGCCTTCAGAATGGAATTCTCATAGTTTATACACAAAAATTAATAAAAAATAAAGCCTTTAATTTACATATACAAAACTATACATATTCGTGTAAAAAATTGAATGAACTAACAGAATATTTATGAATCAAACGGAAATCTCAACATTTTTTCAAATTAACTATTGAGATTTGCATAATTTATACAATCAATTTTTTTTTAACTTGGGAAGAAACATAACTAACCTGATAAATTTTGTGAATTTTTTTTAATGTATGAAGCTTCAATGAATAAGTCCTAACTCCTGTATTTTGGAAAATAAGGCCCTTGGAGGCCCTTCAAACACGTCTGGCACACGGTTCTACTCATTTTCCTGCCTCCAGCTATGTTTCGGGTGCTGTGACACAACAGTCCTTTTCGCCATTTTTGGGTACAGGTAACCCTAGAAAAAAATTGTTGTAAAATTACAGAACACATCAAACTTTCTCGAAAACCGCCATTGAACAGCCCACATGTGTAAGAAACAGTCTGATTAGCTGGTACGAAAGCCTGCCAGCCAATATCAAGGCTTCTATTATAAAGGGCCGACAATCTGCCCAGTCGTCCTTTTGGCTACTTTGTGTTGGGCCGATATTTCGGCCACGTCGTCTCCAAAGGGTTACAAATTGCTCATTTTTATTTTTTTATCCTGGTCAGTGGTAAAATAAAAAGTACATAACATCTTGCACTAAATGGGGCTCTAGAATATATATAGATTCAAATTTGAAGCATTCCTTCTTAGCATCTAAGGAGTTTAACTTTTTTGTCTCTAAGGGTTGAATTAAAGAAAAAAAGTAAACGTATTATAAAGTACAGCATATAATAAAAATACAATAATTCTTCTCTAACACCAAGGAAATAATCCATTGAACAGTGATTAAGAAGTTTAACAATGGACAGAAGGGGAACAACCTGGCTGGAGCCTGTCTTGACACAACAACGGCCAATAGAGGCAGAGAAATTGGTGGAAACATCTGGTCTTTCTTGTGTGTGTTGGTCCCCTTTCCCCATTTCGTTAAGCTTCTTTGTCGCAGTTGGGTGGACTGATTTCTTGGTATTATCTTGACCGCAGTCACCTCTGACTTCATCACTTTGGATTCTTTAAAACCACATTGCTGTTAGTAAAATTATAATTTATTTAAATACAGCAGAATTGTTTGTTTGCAGCTCTGTTTATATTTATTCCAATGAAGATCCTAGAATTTCCATAGCTTGTCTGTGAACCCATTAGCTGTGCTGGAATTGGGTGCTTAGGCCACTTTAAATATCTTTGGATTGAGACGTCCTTGTGAAAACTGGAACTTTGTAATAACTTGCTGTATTTAGTTTAATTGAGATCTTTTCAGTTTGTAATTTGCCTTGAGAATACATATATTTTTGGGAAGCACTTATGAAAGAGTGAATGGGAGTAGACAATGAGGCAGACGGACAAGACAGTAGTGAGATAACATATGTAGATAGATCTGCAAAAACTTAAAGCTACCAACAACACAGAGAAGACCAGTCAGAGGGATACATGGAGGCAGCTTATTTATGCAACAGTGAACAGAGGTGCACTGAACAGTCTTAGCAATGGAAACAAGTATGCTAACCCCCCTGAATACCGGAAACTTTCGCGAAGGCACTGGGATTCAGGACGTGATCAGGTTGCCCCAACTACTCATGCTTAATCCATGAAGAGCTCAGGAAACCAGCAGGCAATCTGGTTCACACTGTGAGCCCCACCTTAGCTACATGTTGAAGGGGAAGGCATAAACACAACCCATATTTCCTTTAGAATTGGTACAGGGCATTTCTGTCTGCAGCCCGGGGATGTAGGTAATCCACAGACACCACAGCACCACAATGCCATACATATGCAACAGTGAACAGCAAGGGTTTTGATGCTAAGAAGAAAATGTTACAAACGAAATAATTCTGGGTTGTGGTGGGTGATTTTAAGTGGTGAGTCACTGGCTGTGTGTTAAAGCTCATTTGTTCCTAGAGGAACAAGTCATTTGGAGGCAGGAGGTGCAAATCCTGATGTAGTGATTGTTTTCATTTGATGTTTATGTTTTTTCAACGTATCAACATCATGGCACATGGGTGTAACCCATAAGTGCTCCGTTCTAACTCAAGCCTGCGTCTGAAGAATCTCAGTGCAGTGCTCGAACTCCATTGCACTGGCAAGTATCCTGAAATACTTTGGGTAGATTTTTAAACTCAAAATGTTGCCTAGGCAGCGCCGTTAGGCTACTCTTTTTTTAAATTTCCAACTACCGAAGTGTTTTATTACGTGCGCAACAATACACACGGGCGTCCAGTCTGACTACCCAGAAGCCAGGGGAATTATAAATACAATCTTTATACCGACATTAGGTTATCAATGTCAGACTTGGACATTAACAAAAGAACACGAGAGAAGACTAACCACCTGTGAAATGAGATGTTTGAGAATGGCTGCGAATAAAACCAGAAGAGATCGAGGGAGAAACGATGTGATTACAAGAACTATTGGAACCATACCCATCGTTAAATTTATTGAGAAGCAAAGAATGAAATGGTTTGGTCACCTAATGAGAATGAAACCAACGATGCCAGCATCAAGAGCATAAAACATGAAAATCGAAACACCAAGAGGCAGGGGAAGACCAAGAAGAAGATGGATTGAAGGAGTCACGGACAACTTGAGACTTCATAACATCACGACATATGAAGCCACTGAGCGCGCCCTGGCTCGATTGCCGATCATCTGATAGACTGCGACGCCTAGCGGCACTAGCAGATTTTGACAAAAGAAGAAAGAAGGGGTCTTTTGTGATGTCTTCTAATGTCTGTGGATTCTGCTGGTGACTGTGATGTCTTCTGATGTCTATATCTTCTTGACTTTTGTGTTTTTGATGTCTTCTGATGTCTGTGATGTCTTCTGATGTCTGTGGTGTCTTGTGATGTCTTCTGATGTCTGTGATGTCTTCTGATGTCTGTGATGTCTTCTGATGTCTGTGATGTCTTATGATGTCTATATCTTCTTGACTTTTGTGTTTTTGATGTCTTCTGATGTCTATATCTTCTTGACTTGTGTGTTTGTGATGTCTTCTGATGTCTAAATCTTCTTGACTTGTGTGTTTGTGATGTCTTCTGATGTCTATATCTTCTTGACTTGTGTGTTTGTGATGTCTTCTGATGTCTATATCTTCTTGACTTGTGTGTTTTTGATGTCTTCTGATGTCTATATCTTCTTGACTTGTGTGTTTGTGGTGTCTTCTCATGTCTTTATCTTCTTGACTTTAGTGTCTTTTTGTGATTGTGGTATCTTTTTGTGTCTAATCTTCTGATGTCTGGTGTATTATGATGGTTATGGTGTCTCTTTGTGTCTGTGGTGTCTTATTGTATCTGTATTGTTTTCTGATCTATGTGGTGTTTTCAGATGTGTATAAAATAAAAATGTCAAAAATGGTGTCGGATGTTGTGGAGAGGATGTATTTACCTTGAATGCTTTTTGAACAACAGCATTGTAGTTATTGCAGTATCTAAAATATGCTTGAAAAACACATGTAGTGATTTTAATCTTGAACAATTGTTACAGCCTGTGTACACTGTGTTATATTATTTGTCAGAATCTTTACCTTCTGTTAATGGTATCTGCATCATCATCATTATCATCTTGCGCCAACGTGTGAAGAGGTCATCCTACTTCATATCATGGGATTTTCAACATCATCAACATGTAGCAGGTTCTTTGCAAAACATTATTCTTATCACATGCCATAAAGCTATTGGCTTCCATGACAGCTTCCTGCCTGGTGATCTTGGTTTCAGAGGACACATCATGTTTCTGTGTTGACACCTTTCTTTGTCATATTAGAAGGCCATCAACCTCCATCACTCTTTTCATACATTTCTCCTATTGTCATCATCATCATCATGTAGCAGGTCCTTTGCAGAATGTCACTCTCATCACAGTGTGCATGAAAGAAACTCGGTCTCTCGCCAGTTCTCCCGCTTCATGTACTTTCATCCTCATGGTGTCACTTATATCCTCTGCTCATCGGCCCCTGCCTCTCCTTCCTGATACCATGTCCTCTGCTGTAATTTTTTCCAATCCATCGTCGAGCTTGATATGACCAAAATATTTCGGCTTACGAGACAGGATGCTGTTTATTAGCCAATCTTCCTTGATGTTCCTCTTGTCACATGTTCCAATTTCTCTTTCTTTATAATATGCCACAAAAGTACTACCACCTTTCTCTTTTCTCTGATACTGTTTTAACCCTGTCATCCTGAGGAAGCAGGTTTTCCAACTTTTACAGATGACATGACATCTTCGTCAGACAAGGAACTGTATTGAAACCAACTTTCTTTGCTATTGCTTTGTGATGTCCCTATTTCTCTATCTCTTCTGCACCTTTATTTTATTGATCCAGACTTTCTTTTCTGTTACCTTACTTTCAGTGGAGGCAGTGGTGGAGTTTGAGTACACAGCCGAACAGGAGGATGAACTTTCTCTCAGAGTTGGCGATGTTATTTCCAATGTTCAGACAGCAGAAGGGGGTTGGTGGGAAGGTGAACTTAATGGAAAGAAGGGCATGTTTCCAGAGAACTTTGTTAAGGTGAGTTTGAAATTGAATTCAGTGTTGGTTTACACTAGTTAAAGACAGGAGGTGACAAAAGATTGGAGAGTGTTGTAAGTTAGTTTAGATAATCATCTTGAAACATTCTGTTTCTCCTACCGCCTCTGCTGTCCTCTGAATCAGATACTTCTGATATTCCAGATGTCCGTTCTAAGGATTTTGCCACATAAAGTTAGATAAGTGTGTGACACAGAAGGCTAGGAAAGACATGACTAGTACAGTCATTCTGCATGGACTGTAAGAAGATCTGTTCATGGTTAGTTGAATTTTGCAGCTAGTTTTCTGCAGGTTTATCTAGTCATATACCAGCCGACACATGTCTCTAATCAATCTGTTTATTTCTCATTTTATGTTTACCAGCCAACAGGTGTCTCTAATCAATCTGTTTATATCTCATTCTGTGTTTACCAGCCAACATCATCAGCATCAAATAGCAGGTCCTTTGCAGTACGTAGCTCTCATCACAGTCTGCCTGTAAGAAACTCGGTCTTTTGCCTATTCCCCCGCCTCATGAACTTTCACACTCAAGGAGTCACTTATATCCTGTGCCCATCTTCGTGTCGGTCGGCGTCTGCCCCTCCTTCCTGGTACCATGCCTTCTGCTATAATTTTTTCCAATCCGTCGTGGTGCTTGATATGACCAAAATATTTCAGCTTTCGAGAAAGGATGCTGTTTATTAGCCAATCTTCCTTGATGTTCAGATCTTTTAAGATGTCAATATTTCTCATCTTCTTTGTCCAAGATATTCTGAGAATCTTTCTATAGCATTTCAGCTCAAAAGCCCCTATTCTCTTTCTTAAGGACTGAGAGATAGTCCACGACTCACATCCGTATGTAGCCACAGGGAAGATGCATGCCCTCAAAATTCTAATTTTTATCTCCTTGCTGGTGCTTAACCATAGACTTTTAAGGCTGTTCAATCTTTGCATTGCTATGACCATCCTCCTTTTAATTTCTTTCGAACAGTCTCCATTGTTGTTTATTATAGAGCCTAGATATTCAAAGTTTGTGACATTTTCAATTTCTTCATCATTTATTGTTATTTTTGGGTGACAGCCAGTTTTATCTGTGGACATTATTTTCGTTTTCTTTAAATTCAAGAACAGATTTTGATCTTCACTGTGCTTTTGGACGGACAATATTAAATTTTCTATTCCCTTTACGCTGTTTAAAAGGAGGACTGTGTCATCTGCGTAGCGGAGTTCCGGAATAGGGTTGCCACCAATTTTGAGCGGATCATAACTGTCACAAGTCTGGTCATTTTTGACATTTCTCATGATATTTTCTGTGAATATATTGAATAGGTATGGTGAGAGAATGCACCCCTGCCTCACCCCCTTTTGCACCTCGAACCAATCAGATGTTTCACCAGCTGCTCTGATGGCTGCTTGTTGTTCATGATAGAGATTTTCAATTAAATGCACTAAATGCGCTGGAAACCCCATACTTTTCATAATAGTCCACAGTTGGTGGTGCTGGACACAATCAAATGCCTTGCTATAATCAATAAAACAAGCATGAAGATCTACATTGTATTCTCTGCATTTAAAAAAATTATTCTCTTATTAAATATGTGATCCCTAGTTCCTCTACCCTGTCTGAAACTTGCCTGTGCTTCATCTAGTTCATATTGTAATTTCCTTTCAATCCTTTTCATGATAATTCGTAAGAGGATTTTGCTAGCATGACTTATTAATGCGATGGTATAGTAGTTGGAGCATAGTTTCAGATTTCCTTTCTTTGGGAGAGGGATATAGACTGTTCTTTTCCAAGCTTTAGGCCAAATGTCACTGTTCCAGATCTTCGAGCACAGTGCATGGTAGATTTGGACACAAGCCTCTCCTCCTGCTTGAATTAGTTCTGCTGGTATTTCGTCGCAACCTGGTGACTTTCCTTTCTTCAGGCTGTGTATTGCTGATTGTACCTCATCCAGTAAAGGCTCTGGTTCTTTTTCATAACTTTCACAAGTTGTTTTTGAATTACCTGTCTCATCCTCATACATTTCTCTACAGTATTCTTTCCATCTTTCTAATATGTCTTCTTCTAATACCAGCCAACACATGTCTCTAATCAATCTGTTTATGTCTCATTCTATGTTTACCAGCCAACACCTGTCTCTAATCAATCTGTTTATGTCTCATTTTATGTTTACCAGCCAACACATGTCTCTAATCAATCTGTATCTCATTCTATGTTTACCAGCCAACACATGTCTTTAATCAATCTGTTTATGTTTCATTCTATGTTTACCAGCCAACACGTGTCTCTAATCAATTTGTTTATGTCTCGTTCTATGTTTACCAGCCAACACGTGTCTCTAATCAATCTGTTTATATCTCATTCTATGTTTATATCGCAGTCTATTTCCAATTCAAATATGTGAAGTGTGTAAGTGAGTGAGTAGGTGTGTGGGTGGATGAGGGTATGTAGGGTCAGTGGGTAGGCACGTGTATATGGTGTGTGCACACGCGAGTGTGCGTATGCGTTTTACCATCTGTTTTTTTTTTTCTTGATATTCATAATATGCATATTATTATATGAAGATAACATGCTTTATTGATAACATACAACTGCTGTGTGGCAGATAGGTGTAGGAAAGGGCCAAATATAAGACGGGCCTGCGTGCCCAGTTTGTGGCCCTTTTAAAATAAAGTTTGTTCGAAGTATAGATATATAAAGGACTCTAGGAGTGACCCGAAGAGACAAAATCAGAAGTAAGGTTATATGAGAGGCACAGAAACAATTCTAAATTACATACCAAAATAGCAAATCAGATGGTCTACCCACTTAGAATGCTTTGTGATGTCTACCCACTTAGAGAGAATGCTTTGTGATGTCTACCCACTTAGAGAGAATGCTTTGTGATGTCTACCCACTTAGAGAGAATGCTTTGTGATGTCTACCCACTTAGAGAGAATGCTTTGTGATGTCTACCCACTTAGAGAGAATGCTTTGTGATGTCTACCCACTTAGAGAGAATGCTTTGTGATGTCTACCCACTTAGAGAGAATGCTTTGTGATGTCTACCCAATTAGAGAGAATGCTTTGTGATGTCTACCCAATTAGAGAGAATGCTTTGTGATGTCTACCCAATTAGAGAGAATGCTTTGTGATGTCTACCCAATTAGAGAGAATGCTTTGTGATGTCTACCCAATTAGAGAGAATGCTTTGTGATGTCTACCCAATTAGAGAGAATGCTTTGTGATGTCTACCCAATTAGAGAGAATGCTTTGTGATGTCTACCCAATGTCTACCCAATTAGAGAGAATGCTTTGTGATGTCTACCCAATTAGAGAGAATGCTTTGTGATGTCTACCCACTTAGAGAGAATACCCAATTAGAGAGAATGCTTTGTGAGAGAATGCTTTGTGATGTCTACCCAATTAGAGAGAATGCTTTGTGATGTCTACCCAATTAGAGAGAATGCTTTGTGATGTCTACCCACTTAGAGAGAATGCTTTGTGATGTCTACCCAATTAGAGAGAATGCTTTGTGATGTCTACCCACTTAGAGAGAATGCTTTGTGATGTCCCCACTTAGAGAGAATGCTTTGTGATGCCTACCCACTTAGAGAGAATGCTTTGTGATGTCTACCCACTTAGAGAGAATGCTTTGTGATGTCTACCCACTTAGAGAGAATGCTTTGTGATGTCTACCCACTTAGAGAGAATGCTTTGTGATGTCTACCCACTTAGAGAGAATGCTTTGTGATGTCTACCCACTTAGAGAGAATGCTTTGTGATGTCTACCCACTTAGAGAGAATGCTTTGTGATGTCTACCCACTTAGAGAGAATGCTTTGTGATGTCTACCCACTTAGAGAGAATGCTTTGTGATGTGTTGTGATGTCTACCCACTTAGAGAGAATGCTTTGTGATGTCTACCCACTTAGAGAGAATGCTTTGTGATGTCTACCCACTTAGAGAGAATGCTTTGTGATGTCTACCCACTTAGAGAGAATGCTTTGTGATGTCTACCCTTAGAGAGAATGCTTTGTGATGTCTACCCACTTAGAGAGAATGCTTTGTGATGTCTACCCACTTAGAGAGAATGCTTTGTGATGTCTACCCCACTTAGAGAGAATGCTTTGTGATGTCTACCCACTTAGAGAGAATGCTTTGTGATGTCTACCCACTTAGAGAGAATGCTTTGTGATGTCTACCCACTTAGAGAGAATGCTTTGTGATGTCTACCCACTTAGAGAGAATGCTTTGTGATGTCTACCCACTTAGAGAGAATGCTTTGTGATGTCTACCCACTTAGAGAGAATGCTTTGTGATGTCTACCCACTTAGAGAGAATGCTTTGTGATGTCTACCCACTTAGAGAGAATGCTTTGTGATGTCTACCCACTTAGAGAGAATGCTTTGTGATGTCTACCCACTTAGAGAGAATGCTTTGTGATGTCTACCCACTTAGAGAGAATGCTTTGTGATGTCTACCCACTTAGAGAGAATGCTTTGTGATGTCTACCCACCTACCCACTTAGAGAGAATGCTTTGTGATGTCTACCCACTTAGAGAGAATGCTTTGTGATGTCTACCCACTTAGAGAGAATGCTTTGTGATGTCTACCCACTTAGAGAGAATGCTTTGTGATGTCTACCCACTTAGAGAGAATGCTTTGTGATGTCTACCCACTTAGAGAGAATGCTTTGTGATGTCTACCCACTTAGAGAGAATGCTTTGTGATGTCTACCCACTTAGAGAGAATGCTTTGTGATGTCTACCCACTTAGAGAGAATGCTTTGTGATGTCTACCCACTTAGAGAGAATGCTTTGTGATGTCTACCCACTTAGAGAGAATGCTTTGTGATGTCTACCCACTTAGAGAGAATGCTTTGTGATGTCTACCCACTTAGAGAGAATGCTTTGTGATGTCTACCCACTTAGAGAGAATGCTTTGTGATGTCTACCCACTTAGAGAGAATGCTTTGTGATGTCTACCCACTTAGAGAGAATGCTTTGTGATGTCTACCCACTTAGAGAGAATGCTTTGTGATGTCTACCCACTTAGAGAGAATGCTTTGTGATGTCTACCCACTTAGAGAGAATGCTTTGTGATGTCTACCCACTTAGAGAGAATGCTTTGTGATGTCTACCCACTTAGAGAGAATGCTTTGTGATGTCTACCCACTTAGAGAGAATGCTTTGTGATGTCTACCCACTTAGAGAGAATGCTTTGTGATGTCTACCCACTTAGAGAGAATGCTTTGTGATGCCTACCCACTTAGAGAGAATGCTTTGTGATGCCTACCCACTTAGAGAGAATGCTTTGTGATGTCTACCCACTTAGAGAGAATGCTTTGTGATGCCTACCCACTTAGAGAGAATGCTTTGTGATGCCTACCCACTTAGAGAGAATGCTTTGTGATGCCTACCCACTTAGAGAGAATGCTTTGTGATGTCTACCCACTTAGAGAGAATGCTTTGTGATGTCTACCCACTTAGAGAGAATGCTTTGTGATGCCTACCCACTTAGAGAGAATGCTTTGTGATGTCTACCCACTTAGAGAGAATGCTTTGTGATGCCTACCCACTTAGAGAGAATGCTTTGTGATGTCTACCCACTTAGAGAGAATGCTTTGTGATGTCTACCCACTTAGAGAGAATGCTTTGTGATGTCTACCCACTTAGAGAGAATGCTTTGTGATGCCTACCCACTTAGAGAGAATGCTTTGTGATGCCTACCCACTTAGAGAGAATGCTTTGTGATGTCTACCCACTTAGAGAGAATGCTTTGTGATGCCTACCCACTTAGAGAGAATGCTTTGTGATGTCTACCCACTTAGAGAGAATGCTTTGTGATGCCTACCCACTTAGAGAGAATGCTTTGTGATGTCTACCCACTTAGAGAGAATGCTTTGTGATGCCTACCCACTTAGAGAGAATGCTTTGTGATGCCTACCCACTTAGAGAGAATGCTTTGTGATGCCTACCCACTTAGAGAGAATGCTTTGTGATGCCCCCACTTAGAGAGAATGCTTTGTGATGTCTACCCACTTAGAGAGAATGCTTTGTGATGCCTACCCACCTAGAGAGAATGCTTTGTGATGTCTACCCACCTAGAGAGAATGCTTTGTGATGTCTACCCACCTAGAGAGAATGCTTTGTGATGTCTACCCACCTAGAGAGAATGCTTTGTGATGTCTACCCACCTAGAGAGAATGCTTTGTGATGCCTACCCACTTAGAGAGAATGCTTTGTGATGTCTACCCACCTAGAGAGAATGCTTTGTGATGCCTACCCACCTAGAGAGAATGCTTTGTGATGTCTACCCACCTAGAGAGAATGCTTTGTGATGTCTACCCACCTAGAGAGAATGCTTTGTGATGTCTACCCACCTAGAGAGAATGCTTTGTGATGTCTACCCACCTAGAGAGAATGCTTTGTGATGCCTACCCACCTAGAGAGAATGCTTTGTGATGTCTACCCACCTAGAGAGAATGCTTTGTGATGTCTACCCACCTAGAGAGAATGCTTTGTGATGTCTACCCACCTAGAGAGAATGCTTTGTGATGTCTACCCACCTAGAGAGAATGCTTTGTGATGTCTACCCACCTAGAGAGAATGCTTTGTGATGTCTACCCACTTAGAGAGAATGCTTTGTGATGCCTACCCACTTAGAGAGAATGCTTTGTGATGTCTACCCACTTAGAGAGAATGCTTTGTGATGTCTACCCACTTAGAGAGAATGCTTTGTGATGTCTACCCACTTAGAGAGAATGCTTTGTGATGTCTACCCACTTAGAGAGAATGCTTTGTGATGTCTACCCACTTAGAGAGAATGCTTTGTGATGTCTACCCACTTAGAGAGAATGCTTTGTGATGCCTTAGCATACACAAGTCAAGCATAAGTAAAGGACACTTTTCATTCCCTTCAAGCATATAGTGCTAGACCTATATTTTATAGCCCATGTATCTATCCATGGGTGATATGTTCAACATCCTGCCAGCCACCTTTACTTCCCAGGACTTTACCTTCTACCCATTTAAGGCGGGGTCGGCCTGGGAGCCATATTCCTTTCATGAAAACAGCCTGGTTCTATTCATATCCACAGGCAACTGTCTAGCTGCTACACTACAATAGCTCTTCATATCATACAAGGCATGCACTAAAAATGAAGAACATAGAGCATGAGGTAGACCACAAACTAAATGGATAGATAAAAAAAAATAAACTTGACAACAACAGACTCAATGAGTTTGTGGTCGAGACAACCAGAAGAGCAAGAGAAAAACCTTATTCCGCCCTCGACACCCATATCAGTAAAAGAGGGCATGAAAAAGAAGAGGAAAAGAAGAAAAAAGAAGGATAGTCTCTAATGACGTGCAAGGTGGGTTTCAGTGTAAGTTTTCTTTTGCTTCTCTTATGGACTCCAATCAGAGGGACAGATAAGATAGACATATTTTCAGACTGCTATTGGCACCATTAGTATTGTAATTATGCAGGCTGTTGAAGACTGGGACGGAGCACTTATGGGAATGCCCAGATTACTGTGATTTTAATTCTTAATTCAGCTTAACTCATTGTGGGCAGTTAAATAAAAGAATATTCATCAGAATAAATTTAATGAGGAGGACATATTGGTACATGTCCTCTACCCAAATATAAGGAAGGTTCCTCATCTTCCTCAGTGTCAATAAGTTTGACAACAGCTAATAATGGCCATGATCATATTGATATGTATTCAGATAAATAAAGATTCTGAAGCTTTTTTCCAGCAACTTTTGTCAGTCTATCTAGCAAAACTAATGCTTTAGATGTGCGAAAGAAATGTAAGCAGAGAGAGAGAGAGAGTTGTAAAAAGTTGTAAGTTGCTGGATTAAAAGTTTTTTTGTTTGTTTTTGTTGTTGTTATCAAAGTTGTAGACATTATATAATATTTGTTCACATTCTGTTGCTAGCTTGTGAAACGCAGAGAACCGGCACCTAATAAAAAAGAAGAGAAACGAGAAGCCACACAACGAAAGTCAGTGCGAGAGCTAGCAAGCAAGTTAGGCAAGGTTCCAATGGGTGGACCGCCCAAAAAGAAAGGTATCTTTTTATTTCACTAAACTTCTTAACCTTTTCGCCCCACGAATGCTATAATGCTATTTTGAAAAATGGGTCATAGACCCATGGGAATTTTAAAAAAATCCTTTTAAAAAAAATTATTTTACACAGGTAACTTATAAATTCTTCTAAAATTTAGTTCTGAACATTTTTTTTACATTTCATTTCACAGTGTTTAAAGATATATACCGTATTTATGCTTGTATAGTCTGCAGTATTTAAAAAAAATTGTAAAGGCTTATTTTCTAGATATTAGGCCTGTTTGTCACTTGTGCAAAATTAATTAAGGAAAAATGCCTTGTGAAAACAGTACTGGTAAATGATTCCATTTTATGTCAGACATTTGGTGCGGCCTATACACACATAAATATGGTAAAGGGAGTAATTAATAAACAAGATCACAGTGAAGCATTAAATGTAATACATTCCCTGGGGGATGCAACAAATATGTGTTCCGTGACCTTTTTCATTGAGGCTTAAAGGAAAATGTAAAAGTCAACCAGGCTTTGCTGTGACTCTCTTTCAGTCTCACAGGGTCACAAACTGACCACCAGTTTCACTGTTGTTGTACAGCAATACACTTGTGAGGATGTCGGTGAAATGGATGAACATCAGTCTGAGAGAGAGAGTACAGCCATGACAGGAGATCCTTTGCAACTGATAGCCTACATATTTTTGTTGTATACCTTATGATATGTTAACTTTTACTTTACATTAACTCTCAAAGACAGGAGAGTTAACATTCAGCAAATGTCAGTTTATAAATATTATAGAAGCCTGTTCGGTACAGTCTGTTGTTTGTGTCATCTTTGTTGACAGTCAGAGTTAACATTTGTGTTAAGTTTTTTCATCACTCACCAAGTTTATGGCCACAGTAGAAAAAATGACTGCAACATTGTTTTGGCTTATATACCAGGAAGGCTAACCCGGTCAACAAATGCCCGCAAAAGTTGGATGTGTTGGCTGAAAGGTGCAAATATCGCAGCCATGCTGTAAACGGACACACTGCAATTACATCTTCGGATGAACGCAGAAGAAGAAGTTTTGGCTTATTTAACTAACTATGGTTTCTGATAGAAAAAAGAAAAAATGCAGAGTCCTGAATTTGTTTTTATTTTCAGAGAAAAAGAAAAAGTGCAAAGTCTTGTTTGAATATAAGAAAGAAAATGATGATGAGCTGGATCTGGCTGTAGGAGATATTCTGGACTTTCACAGACAGGTTAGTGGTGCATGAAGGTGTGTGCTGGCTCTGTGCTTGTTTACTGTTGAATGGGTGCAAAGTCAAGAGTTGTTTGAAAGTTTGATCTTGTTTTTCTTTCACTCTTTTCCCCATAACGTACAGCGTTGAGTTACCACCTTCTCTAAAGATGTGTCATGCACAGTTTTGAAACCTGGCAGAGTTCAGCCCTCCTCAGGCACCAAAATCCACACTTTCTGTGAATGTTCAATTGTAAATATTGTGGGTGATCTTTCTCTTTTCAAAACTTATACCACAGTTGTGGTCGTCACGTTGCACACATTACAATTTCCAGCTGCCAAGGAGTTTTTAACTTGTCTAAAATGCACAAAATTGTTCAATGTATTTATAACAGTGGACAGGTAGTAGTAGTAAGTTTAACTCCATCTGGACATCACACAGAGCGATAAACACCCGGTGACACTAAATGCTACCATGTGCACTGAAAGTGAGAACAAGGGTCTTAGTTTGCAAGGGCCCGTTACTTGAGGATAAAATGAAACTGTAGGCAGTTCAGCCCCTAGAATTTTAGATGTAGATATGTTGGCAGTTTAGTCCACTGGGCTGGAGTGGCTAGATTTAATGGCTGTCACCTCCATGTCGTGGACACCTTGGGGGAATTGAAATGCAATGGCACTGGTTTCAGGGCATAAACCCGTTTCACCTATGTATTTTACGCCACATCTCTTGCAGTTTATGGCATATCATTACATTACGACTGGTGCAATAGAATGCTTCACGTATGTGGAAGGTGGCATTTGGAAATTTCAGGCTGGTACCCTGAACCACATATGGACAGGTATACAGGTCTGTGGCAAGAAACCGTCCCAAAGTGGGACCCAGAGGCAGGACGTAACTGACTCTTAACTAGAATGTCCTTGAATTTACGGTCATGCCTGAAGGCCAATAGAGGAAGTTCAGAGAAAATCTTGCTGGTTGTAGGGTCAGCCCTGAGGGTGGAGAGATGCTTGAGGAGAATTTTTTTAGCACAGATTTTGTGAGGTTGGTAGGTATGTGTGAGAATGGGTCTGAAATGGTATCGTTTAGGCTTGGAAGTTAGAGCCTCAACATGATAGATAGATCGTGCTCGGTGAAAGGCAGCAGTTAAGACATGTTCCGGATAACCCTCAGAGCCAGAAGAGGTCCAACATTCCTAGGGCCTTGTTGTGAAAGTCGTCGTTCTCCTGGCACAGTCTGCAGAGGCGTAGAAGCTGGGAGAACAGAATGGAGTCCTTGCAGGAAGAGGTATGAGTGGGCATGTACAGAAGAAAAGCATGGGAATCAGTAGGTTTATTGTACACTGAGGTGCTGAGGCCTTTAGAGTTCATGGTGACAGTGAGATCAGAAAATGCAGCGACGAAGAGCACTAGCATTGGCAACAGAGCAAACAGCCACACATGTAGTAATTGTATCAGGCTCTTTGAACATGCTTCAGAAGATAGCAAAAGGCACTATGAGCTCTGAATGAATAGAAGGCATTCAAAAATCACACTTAACCTCCCTCGCCTGGTCAATCTGGCAAAAAGGGTAATTAGTGAGCAGACCAACTGGCAAGCAGTGAGCCAACACTGCTTTTGCGCATCGTGTGTTGATTTCTCTTTCCATTCTTCCTTATGACGAGAAAATGGATACTGGGCCATGTCATTGCTCCACTGCAGAAACAGTTATAAACAGTTTCGTTATATGTATAGCTCATGTTTTGAAAGAAGCTGCAAATAGAAAACTCATAATGAATATCACAAAGAGGCTGACATTGTTTTTTAGTCGCACTATGAGAATAGAAAACTGGAACATGTTGTGTGAGCTGGAAAGATTTATGGAAAAAAATAGAGGAAGATATGAGAAGATTCTTTACAGTCTTTTTGTTATGGCAGGCAGTTAAAATCCTTAGCTTTCATCTAGGAAAGTGGGGTTTACATCCCCAGTGAGGGGATAATGTTTTCTGTTGGACAGAAACAAAAATCCTAATGTGCACATTTTGTAGTGATTGTATTAGCCATTTGGCCACATTTTCTTGAGTTTAGGACATTCCTACCCAGCCTGCCCTAAATGGGGAAATGTAGGGAGTAATCATTGTTTTAAAGAAGAGTTGTGGCACATGAACTGAAACCTGCCTTTGGAGATAATGGGATGTAATGGAGCACGCTCGCTCGGCCATACAAGCCATCAGAAACTTGGTAATGATTTTACACACATACGCACGCACATACGTACGTATGTATGTATGTATAAGTAAAGAACCCTTTTAAGACCAGTCAGTACTTGATAGGCGATGTGATCAACATCGCGTCAGTCGCCTTTACTTCCCAGACATTACCAGGCACCCACTTTAGCTATGTTGATCTGGAAGCCAGGTTTAGTTTTCAAGAATAAAAAAAGTCCCTAGACCTTTGGATGGCAGGCAAGTGGATGATATACAAAGCTGCTACAAAATGTTGTAATATTCAAAAGCATGTTTCATTAACTGTTGATTTCATGGGAACAGTTTTGCTGGAATGAAATCTTACTTTCCGAAAGCAGCTCTGATTGTATATCCTCACCAGCGGTAAATCTGTTGAACAAATTGATTTGTGAAGTTTTCATTTTAGCACCCTTGTTGATTTTTGACTGAGTTGAGTTGCATTTTTTTTTTTTTAGCTTGCTTTTACAATTTAAAACAATAATTCTGAAACTGTTTAGCCTCTTTGTTCCATGTTCATTCCATTAAGCTGATAATGGCCCTATTATTATTTTGTAATAATGACAAACAGCTAAATAATGGTTTGCTGAACCTGAATCAGATGTGTTGGGTAGACAAGTGCAGATATCACAGCTTAGCTGTAACCTTCGACATGACGCCTTTTTAATGAAGAAAACAGACACAGAAGTAGAAGTAACATAGAGGGCCTCAGGTGAAAACCTTAAATGTTATAATTACAATACGTGCCAGTGTCTAGTAACCTATCAGTATTGTTGTTAAGAATGTCAGGAGTGTTAAGCTAATGACATCACAGTGCAGACAAACATAGTGACATCATAATGATAGTTTAAAGATAGCCACATCACTTTTGACAGGCACCAAAGAGGAGCAGCATTCTGTTAATGATTTTTTAAAAATCAGTATAGGGGTGAAACCTACAGATATTCATCAGCAAATGAAGGTCCAGTCTGGGTATGCATGCCTGTCAGTCCAGCTAGTGTATGCCTGGAGTAGGAAGTTTCTAGACAGCTGCAGTCAACTCATGGGCACTGCTTGGTATGCCTGGAGTAGGAAGTTTCCAAACAGCTGCAGTCAACTCATGGGCACTGCTTGGTATGCCTGGAGTAGGAAGTTTCTAGACAGCTGCAGTCAACTCATGGGCACTGCTTGGTATGCCTGGAGTAGAAAGTTTCTAGACAGCTGCAGTCAACTCATGGGCAGTGCTAGTGTATGCCTGGAGTAGGAAGTTTCTAGACAGCTGAAGTCAACTCATGGGCACTGCTTGGTATGCCTGGAGTAGGAAGTTTCTAGACAGCTGCAGTCAACTCATGGGCAGTGCTAGTGTATGCCTGGAGTAGGAAGTTTCTAGACAGCTGAAGTCAACTCATGGGCACTGCTTGGTATGCCTGGAGTAGGAAGTTTCTAGACAGCTGCAGTCAACTCATGGGCACTGCTTGGTATGCCTGGAGTAGGAAGTTTCTAGACAGCTGCAGTCAACTCATGGGCACTGCTTGGTATGCCTGGAGTAGGAAGTTTCTAGACAGCTGCAGTCAACTCATGGGCACTGCTTGATATGCCTGGAGTAGGAAGTTTCTAGACAGCTGCAGTCAACTCATGGGCACTGCTTGGTATGCCTGGAGTAAGAAGTTTCTAGACAGCTGCAGTCAACTCATGGGCACTGCTTGGTATGCCTGGAGTAGGAAGTTTCTAGACAGCTGCAGTCAACTCATGGGCACTGCTTGATATGCCTGGAGTAGGAAGTTTCTAGACAGCTGCAGTCAACTCATGGGCACTGCTTGATATGCCTGGAGTAGGAAGTTTCTAGACAGCTGCAGTCAACTCATGGGCACTGCTTGGTATGCCTGGAGTAAGAAGTTTCTAGACAGCTGAAGTCAACTCATGGGCACTGCTTGGTATGCCTGGAGTAGGAAGTTTCTAGACAGCTGCAGTCAACTCATGGGCACTGCTTGGTATGCCTGGAGTAGGAAGTTTCTAGACAGCTGAAGTCAACTCATGGGCACTGCTTGATATGCCTGGGGTAGGAAGTTTCTAGACAGCTGAAGTCAACTCATGGGCACTGCTTGGTATGCCTGGAGTAGGAAGTTTCTAGACAGCTGCAGTCAACTCATGGGCACTGCTTGGTATGCCTGGACTAGGAAGTTTCTAGACAGCTGCAGTCTACTCATGGGCACTCCTTGGTATGCCTGACCACTACTTAGTATGCCTCACAGAAATCACACCATTGGGAAACATCTTTACAACTTGTAAGATTTTCCTGTTAAGCCCGCTTGTAATTATAATTCATGTATCACATTTCCTATCCTCTTGCTAAGCTGTTTGCCTCACAGTCTAGGTTCATGGACTGCACTGTTCTGTTCACAAGTGCAATTTTTGGGGAGTTAACTAGGGATTGTCTCTGGAGCTGCGGAGTTTGTCCTTTATGTGATGCACTCGGCAGACAGCTAGTTCTGGTTCTGCGGAGACAGCCATTTGGAATAAAATCCTTTATGCAATGAAGCTGATCCTCTCAAATTTAAGTTCAGTATTTTTAATTATGAAATTAATTGCCACATGGAATACGGTAATGACACAGACACAAGTAACTTGCTGTACACTCTCTCACTGGGATACATCAATGGCTTAGTGTATAGAATTATGGGATAGAGTAAGAATTTGTTTTTCCTCTTTCTTAAACAAAAATGCATCGTTATAATTCTGTGGCCCAAAGCTCGGCCTTGAGGAACTAGAGGAAGAGAGGTTGAAGCAAAAGCTATTTGCAGTCTTGGTCAGTTTTTTTATTTTTTAAATCCGATGAACAACGAGCAGACAGGCAAGGCTACTAGCTGTTGCGTTGTCTCAGATCCGAAGGTAATTTTTTAAAAAAAGGTGGATTTTTCATAGTGAGTCATTAATTTGTGCTCAGATTATGTTTTTTTTTTTTCATATGAAGGGGAGTAGTTTCTAAATACAAACAGAGAATAAATATCTTTCCTTTGACCAAAAAGCAAAGTTGACTCAGTCACAAATAGCAAAGTGATGTCATAAGTTTTTTAGACATCAGAGTGACAACACAACATTTCTGATTTAATTTTCACACCAAATAATGTCTGTATGGGGGGGGGGGGCTGTTGTGTGTGTAAATATAATCATACCCACCATGTCTACACACTGTACAGTAAATATAATCATACCCACCATGTCTACCCACTGTACAGTAAATATAATCATACCCACCATGTCTACACACTGTACAGTAAATATAATCATACCCACCATGTCTACACACTGTACAGTAAATATAATCATACCCACCATGTCTACACACTGTGCAGTTACAGCCAGTAACAAAACTTATGTGGGCGTACTAGCAACTGCCCAAAGATCTCATGTAACCAAAAACCCTTAAAAGTAGGAAAATTGACTTTCTCAGGCCAACAGGGTTAAATCCTAAGGCTGATAGCACCCTTGGCCTACACCACCTTAAAGATGATAAATATGGACAGTAAAGGCAGTTTATTGTTAACATGCTTTGTAATGATTTTGTCATTGACAGGTGGAAGAAGGCTGGTGGGAAGGTACGCTGAACGGAAGGCATGGAGTGTTTCCATCCAATTTTGTGGAGATGGTGGAAGACACGGCCTCGCCGGATGAAAATAATATATCAGCTGGTCAAAAGGAAGAGGATAAGTCAGCAGGTACCGTTGTTTGTTTAATGAATGTTTCTTTGGTTCCACCCAGTACCGTTGTTTGTTTAATAAATGTTTCTTTGGTCCACTGATGGTGTTCTCCCCCTCCCTTCCCGCCTTAGTTTGTTTAGTGGATGTTCCTTTGATCCACTGATGCCCCCCCCCCCCCCCCCCCCCCCCCCCCCCCCCCCCTCAGTGCCTTTGTTTGTTTAATGAATGCCTCTTTCATCTTTTGGTCCCCCACCCACATTACCATTGTCTGTTTAAATGGATGTTTCTTCCGTCTGGTGGTTTGGAGTTAGAATCCTCAGTTAATTAGGCTGATTTTTGTTTGTCAAAAAAATAAACCTTGGCTGCCAGGTTGGCCCATCCTAAAATTGGTATCAAGTTAATGTCCTAGGCAGTAACCATGGTTGATGAGGACCATATCACTCATCCAGTGCTGATTAATCTATGAACATATGTTAAATTGTAATGTCCTGGGAAGTAAAGATAACTGGTATGTGATGTTGACTATATAACACTATCAGCTGCTATACATATTCAGGGTCGGAGCCTCCAGATGCCTGAGCCTTCAGGTTCCAGCACCTGAGCTTCAGCTTTCATTTGTTATCTCCTGGGGGACTTCCTCATTTGTTATCTCCTGGGGGACTTCCTCATTTGTTATCTACTAGGGGACTTCCTCATTTGTTATCTCCTGAGGGACTTCCTCATTTGTTATCTCCTGGGGGACTTCCTCATTTGTTATCTCCTGGGGGACTTTCTCATTTGTTATCTCCTGGGGGACTTCCTCATTTGTTATCTCCTGGGGGACTTCCTCATTTTTTATCTCCTGGGGGACTTCCTCATTTGTTATCTCCTGGGGGACTTCCTCATTTGTTATCTCCTGGGGGACTTCCTCATTTGTTATCTCCTGGGGGACTTCCTCATTTGTTATCTACTAGGGGACTTCCTCATTTGTTATCTCCTGGGGGACTTCCTCATTTGTTATCTCCTGGGGGACTTCCTCATTTTTTATCTCCTGGGGGACTTCCTCATTTGTTATCTCCTGAGGGACTTCCTCATTTTGTATCTCCTGGGGGACTTCCTCATTTGTTATCTCCTGGGGGACTTCCTCATTTGTTATCTCCTGGGGGACTTCCTCATTTGGTATCTCCTGGGGGACTTCCTCATTTGTTATCTCCTGAGGGACTTCCTCATTTGTTATCTCCTGGGGGACTTTCTCATTTGTTATCTCCTGGGGGACTTCCTCATTTTTTATCTCCTGGGGGACTTCCTCATTTGTTATCTCCTGGGGGACTTCCTCATTTGTTATCTCCTGGGGGACTTCCTCATTTGTTATCTCCTGGGGGACTTCCTCATTTTGTATCTCCTGGGGGACTTCCTCATTTGTTATCTCCTGGGGGACTTCCTCATTTGTTATCTCCTGGGGGACTTCCTCATTTTGTATCTCCTGGGGGACTTCCTCATTTGTTATCTCCGGAGGGACTTCCTCATTTTTTATCTCCTGGGGGACTTCCTCATTTGTTATCTCCTGGGGGACTTCCTCATTTTGTATCTCCTGGGGGACTTCCTCATTTGTTATCTCCTGAGGGACTTCCTCATTTGTTATCTCCTGGGGGACTTTCTCATTTGTTTCCAGTGTATATTTTTTATTAGCTCCTTCTCTCCTAGCCAATTGTTGCATTGTCTTTCTCGACTCCAGTGATCATTTGCCTTCTTCTAAGTTTGCCCTTTAAGTGTGGGTGGCACGTTGTGGTTTACAGCTAGGCTGTAGTATCTGCACCTTTTAGCCCAACATATTCGGTGTGCGCAATCCCTTAATTAGTTGACTTTGATTACTGTTAAGGGGCAAGGGGTTTAACCCCTCCCCCCTGTCCCCCCACCCCCCAAACAACGCAAAGAACACGGACATTATTGTTTTCAATTCCTATTATACAGTAGTATTTTCACTTCAACTCCCTCATGCAAAACAGACTTAGTTAACTGTTTGGTATTATTCTTCTTCTACCCTTCAACTCCCAGTGCCATATGGTAGCCCTATACTTTGCCACCACACACGTCATCGGGGGGGGGGGGGGGGGGGGTCAGTGGGTTTCAGTGCAAGAACTTTCTAGCTTTATTTTTATCAACAGATTCCCCATGTTTGTTCCAGGGCCCAATTGTGGAGACAACAAGAATAGACCCACAGCCTATCTAAAAGCATATCGTAAGAGTCGACTAATTGCGAACTTCTTTCAAAGTTGGATTGCAAGTGCCTGAGAGGCAAGGAACCAGCAGTCTGCATACAGATGAAGTCAGATCCGTAAAACGGAGGCACACGCAACTCTCAGGTTCTAGAACACGACTGCAGTCCTGAAGTGGATGAACAACCAGAACTTCCCCCTAAGTTTACAACTGGTGAATGCAAAGAAGAAGATTATCACCAGGTTTTAAAATTTGTTTTCCATCTAACACCAATTCCCTTTTAATATAGACATACTCATCAATCAGTCAGGTGCCCTCTCCCCAATGAAAGGTTGGCTGCAATGAATCTCTAACATGCTGTCTCTTGTCTTGTTCACTCTCTCAGACTGCTGTTCATCCATCTCTAGATGTTGTCCTCCCACTTGTATCATTCATTTTGCCCTCGACCTTTCCCTCATGTCTGGATTTTAAAAGAATGTTAGATCTTTTAATGTGGCCAAAATATTTAAGTTGTTCCTTTTTTAAATATTTTTTGAAAAATTAGATTTGAAATTTTCTAGTTCCCCCCCCCCCCCCCCCCCCCCCCCCCCCCCCCCCCACCACAGAGCCTCTGAATTCGATTGTTTCTGTTTCCATGAAAAGCAAACTGTATATCTGCATTTCCGGACACTCAATTTGATTTTCAGTTGCCTGTATTTTCAAGTTTTTGCACCATACACATGGTTTAGTATACATAACATTTGGCGATTCTCATTTTTAATGAGTTGTATATCTCTCTAGATGTCAATAATTTTCACATCTTATTTAGGATAGTCAAATCACGAAATCAGACGAATGCTAGGAATAAAGCTAGTCTTACAAGTCATCAAAGAACAATAAATGAAGTGGTTTGGACACCAAACAAGAATGCCCTGGTACTATCTGCCACAGCGAGCCACACTAAAACGTTACAACGGGTATAGAGCGAGTGGAAGACCTTGGAAAATATGGAGTGATGGCATTAAGAACAGCCTTACAGAAATGAACATCAGTCTTAATAGTGCTCTTGACAGAGCTCATCAACGAATGTTACAACTCCCCCTGACACTTCACTAAGGTATAAGGTGGAAGAGGAGAAGAACAAGAAGAACAAGAACTGAAGATAGTTAGACATAGCTAGTTCAGAAGGAGTTAATTTCTTTAATCATTTGTGTGTATTTCTTTTCAGGTGATAGTCACAACAAAGATTCAGACTTTCAGACAATTAAGGGTAAAAAGGTCATGGGCGTAGGACTGGGCAATATTTTTGGCGGTGGTCCCATCAAACTGCGGGCAGTTGGGGATAGCACAGCCAAAGAGGTATGTTAAAAATTCATATTTTTTCAAAACATTTCCATATACAGATACAACTTGAGAATCAGTTACTATGATAACATAGTATTTACGGTAGTTGTTTTCATCACATTTTTTTTTGCACATTTACCTTTGTGGTAGGATTGTTTTCTTTAAAAGTACAGATCTCGGGTAAACTCGCCCAAAAAAGTGGTGGTAGAAATATTTTAGAGATACCAACAGAAGGGAGCCACAGCGATTTTAAATCTCAGGATGATATGGTAAACCTTTAGATAGCAGCCTGGAGGGGGCAAACCGATCAGTCATCTGGGTTCAGTCTCCTGTATTATTGTTCTAACCTGTAGGGTTCTGGGGCCAACCCAAGTGAACCCGCTCAAAAACACAACGGTACAAGTTTTCTTAAAATAGAGCAACAATGTCAGTAGAAGAGAGCCACAGTAACATAGTGATTTATATGCTTGCCTTCCAAGATAATCAGATTGTTTCAAATCCCAGCAGAGATAGTATTATTTTTGTCAAGTCTGAAAAAAATGAGTACTATTATGTTGTGTGATGTGTTAGGCCATCACACATTCTACACCTTGATATATGAGTGGGGCGACTGGTTCCCTCGCTTATAAGTTTTTCTTCCCAGATATTTACTAAAACATTACGTAAGTTATCTAGTACTCATTTAAAACTAGGCTGGGTTTAACCTAGAATATTACTGGTTGGGAAAACTTCTACCACTTTTGAGGAATGAATTCATATACCGGTCTCTGTTAACTATGCTTCATGTTATTTAGTTGATAATTTTCAGAAGGAGTGCTCATTTAAAACCCTTTTCAGTGGCTTTATCACAAAAGCATTCCAATAACTAAATTACAAAAGCAATAAAGAATTGGCAACAGGTGTGTCAGAATTAAAAGAAGCATTCATTTTTAAGGAATTGTTCACCGTGGCTAGGTCAGAAAACGTAGGCATGCAGACAAACATCCCATTACTTAGACAGCAAATGTTGTCCGTAAAAAGGATTGTGGCGGCTCACTGAACCAAGCGTTTGCTACTTCCATTGTGTATATGTTACCCACTGTGAACACACCTTCCAGTATTGCAGTTTCTTATAAAAAATACCTTTTGAATGTTTTCAGAAGACACATTGAATTTGTTCACTGGCGACATATGCTTCACTAATGGTTCACCAGTATTGCTACATCAGTTTTGGTGATTTCCCTTTTTTTCCCTGTTGCAACATGTTTGTTTGTTTGTTTTAGTATCCAGAAGCCTTGAGTCCCCGTTGCAACATAATGCACATGACCCAGCCAGAATCAAGTCTCTATTGTTTCAGTTGACCATTTAGTAAATGTTTTCTGATGTATTTTTTATATAAACAGTTTAAATGTGACAAATAATGACTCCTATTTACCAATTAGGATGCTCCAAAATCAGGAAGGCAAGGGGACTCTACTCCTGATTCCGCACCAGAGGCAGCAAAGAGAGAAAAGCAAAATAGTAAGTGTGTTTAAAACTTTTTTTTTTTTATAAATGAGTTTTAACAAATAAATTGTTAATTATCAAACCACTGAAAGTAAAATTGCCTAGCAAAACTACAAACAGCCAACACATGCTGGGAATAGTTTGCAACATTCTTTAAAAGATACGCAGCTAACTTTTCAAATCTCTGTGTTACTGTTGTGTGTTGGCGTCAGTGGCTAAGATGTTGCGAACATGATTCATTATTCTGAAATAGCTGGTTCAGTTTAGTTGCAGGCAATTTGGCAGCAGACTGCTGTGCATTTATTTTGTACAGTTGAATATAGTTCCAACTGTTCAGGAAGCAGTGGCAAATTACTTAAAATTGGCTAGTAAAATCACAAACAGCCAAAAATGTTGAGGTTGGTTATGCAACATCCTGTACTGGATACATAATAAACTTTTTTCTGGGTTTTTTTTTCCCCCCACCTTTCCTTTAAAGTACATTAACACTTTTTGCCCAAGAAGCCACAAAAACCAACACTTCCGGTTGGTACCATTTTCCTGTAAAGTGCCGCTTTCCTGACTTGCTATAGAGACATGTTTACCAGATGGCTGCAAACGTTCAGCTTGGCAGAGGATGACTAAATTGACGTTTAAGAAAATATCTTTGTTTATAGAAAATGTTATGTTTTTTTAATATATTTTTATATATATGTAATTTGTATATTTGTGTGTGTGTGGCTACATTGGTTCACAAGGTCAGATCAGTGTTATGCTTTAATTAGTTTATAGACCACAAGAGCTATTAGCCAATTGATTCTATGCTCTATCATTTTATTAATTACAACCCTGACTCTCTATAGTATTTGTGTTTTAGATGATAAATTTATTTTGTACTAATTTGTGTGTGACATTTGACAATGTGGTTACCTTTTTTTAAGGATTTGTTTTGGCAGTATCCACAAAACTCAAAGTTCAGGAGCTTGGCTTTGTTTTTCCTCCCCTAGGTCATTGGCACAAAAGGGTTAAACAGTATTATTTATTTATATATTTAGATTTATATCTGAAAATAATTTGTCAATATTTCCTTATCAGCCACAGAACGTGCCGTAGTTCGATTTTCATACACAGCGGAGCAGCCTGATGAACTGTCTTTGGTAGAAGGGCAGATTGTCCGCATCCTTGAGAAGGAACTGGAGGATGAGGGCTGGTGGAAGGGAGAGTTACATGGAAAAGTTGGAGTATTTCCTGACAACTTTGTGGAACTGTTGCCTAATGAAGAGGTATGTTGCACGAAAGAAAAATCTACTTGTTTGTAGTTTGGTCACAAATGGAATACTTTTGGGATCTTTGATAAAATAATTTCTTTTCTTCTGCTGCTGCATTTTTCTCTGTTGATTTTTTCTTCTTCTATCTTGTGTGCCCTCAACCACATCATACTGCTCAATATTTTTGTCTTATTCTCTCTTGTGTGCCCTCAACCCCATCACACTGCTCAACCACATCACACTGCTCAACCACATCACACTGCTCCCCACATCACACTGCCCCCCACATCACACTGCTCAACCACATCACACTGCTCAACCACATCACACTGCTCAACCACATCACACTGCCCCCCCCACATCACACTGCTCCCCACATCACACTGCTCCCCACATCACACTGCTCCCCACATCACACTGCTCCCCACATCACACTGCTCAATATTGTTGTCTTATTCTCTCTTGTGTGCCCTCAACCCCATCACACTGCTCAACCACATCACACTGCTCCCCACATCACACTGCTCCCCACATCACACTGCTCCCCACATCACACTGCTCCCCACATCACACTGCTCAACCACATCACACTGCTCAACCACATCACACTGCTCAACCACATCACACTGCTCAACCACATCACACTGCTCAACCACATCACACTGCTCAACCACATCACACAGCTCAACCACATCACACTGCTCAACCACATCACACTGCTCAACCACATCACACTGCTCAACCACATCACACAGCTCAACCACATCACACTGCTCAACCACATCACACTGCTCCCCACATCATACTGCTCAACCACATCACACTGCTCAACCACATCACACTGCTCAACCACATCACACAGCTCAACCACATCACACTGCTCAACCACATCACACTGCTCCCCACATCATTCTGCTCAACCACATCACACTGCTCAACCACATCACACTGCTCAACCACATCACACTGCTCAACCACATCACACTGCTCAACCACATCACACTGCTCAACCACATCACACAGCTCAACCACATCATACTGCTCAACCACATCACACTGCTCAACCACATCACACTGCTCAACCACATCATACTGCTCAACCACATCACACAGCTCAACCACATCACACTGCTCAACCACATCACACTGCTCAACCACATCACACTGCTCAAACACATCACACTGCTCAACTACATCACACTGCTCAACCACATCACACAGCTCAACCACATCACACAGCTCAACCACATCACACTGCTCAACCACATCACACTGCTCCCCACATCATACTGCTCAACCACATCACACAGCTCAACCACATCACACTGCTCAACCACATCACACAGCTCAACCACATCATACTGCTCAACCACATCACACTGCTCAACTACATCACACTGCTCAACCACATCACACAGCTCAACCACATCACACAGCTCAACCACATCACACTGCTCAACCACATCACACTGCTCAACAACATCACACTGCTCAACCACATCACACTGCTCAACCACATCACACAGCTCAACCACATCACACTGCTCAATCACATCACACTGCTCAACCACATCACACTGCTCAACCACATCACACTGCTCAACCATATCACACTGCTCAACCACATCACACTGCTCCCCACATTACACTGCTCCCCCACATCACACTGCTCAACCACATCACACAGCTCAACCACATCACACAGCTCAACCACATCACACAGCTCAACCACATCACACAGCTCAACCACATCACACAGCTCAACCACATCACACTGCTCAACCACATCACACAGCTCAACCACATCACACAGCTCAACCACATCACACTGCTCAACCACATCACACTGCTCAACCACATCACACTGCTCAACCACATCACACTGCTCAACCACATCACACTGCTCCCCACACATCACACAGCTCAACCACATCACACAGCTCAACCACATCACACTGCTCAACCACATCACACTGCTCAACCACATCACACTGCTCAACCACATCACACTGCTCAACCACATCACACTGCTCCCCACATCACACTGCTCAGTATGTTTGTGGAATGTGACCCTACATGAGAGAGCAGACACCCTGGCTGGCAGTGCAACCATCAGGAATGGGCCACCTATGGACAGGAGAGACATCATCAATACCATCCAAGAGACTAAATGTTGTGAGGCTTTCAGTTTCATGGAGATTGATTTTTACTGAATAGACTGTATACTTTGATTTACCAGTTGGAGCCGTGAGACAAGAAAACCATGAGCCACCCGTCTTTACATCAGTCAGAACAGAATGGGAGTTGTTATTCTAAAAACACTTGAAGACATACTCAGGAGGAGATCAGAGTACATATGGTCATGTGCGATGAAGATGATCTTTAAATGAATAGCTAACAGTGACCCTTCAGCAAGTGCTGGGTCTGCGGCTTCCTGGAGCGAAAAGGTCTAATACTGACTTGGATGCAGAGATGTTGAACCACACAGGTGGTGGTGTAGCAGGAGCAAGGCTAGTCAACACCTGCTTACACTTCTCTCAGCGGTCATCCTGGAAGCAGGTTCCCAGTCAGGAACCCGGCCAACATAGATAGGCTCAGTGTTTTCTGTGAAGTTGAGATTGCATCTGTCTGGGAAGTGAGGAACCAGCTGTCTGCATACAGATAAGCCAGAACACAGATAAGCCAGAACACAGATAAGCCAGGTGTGTAAAATGGATGTGTATGCAAAACTCGAGCGAGAGACAAGACCAAGGTCTACAAGTGGACCAGGACTTTCTGTTGAGTTTACAGCTAGTGAAAGAAGAAATATTTCATCTATTCTTTATCAGGTGATCCAAAGAGTTGTTTAAAATTAAATTACAATATGATATTTTCCTTAGCCAAGTAAAGCAAAGAAACCCCCTGCTCCGGCTGCATCTACAAAACAAGCTGTTCTCCCCAAACTACCAGAAAAATCCTCATTTGACGCTGACGAGAAAATCAAAACAGGTATGTAATTATGAGCGTTGAGCTGAAACATCTCAGCATATAACTGTTTTGTTATTTAAGTCACAGCTCTCCAGAATTTGTCTTGATATGTCCTCAGTTCTTCCACTCCTTGGTTATAACTTTATGGAATATCAACCGTCATCTTGGCTGAATTCTTCCAGCCTTGCATGAAAGGCATGGAAAGATCAAGGGTGTTCCAAGAATATTAGCTTTAATTTGTTGAAAATATTTCTCAAATAGTATCGATTCACATCCATGTATTGCCACAGGAAGTGAGGTCAGCCCAAAAGTAAACATAATATTTAACAGTATGGCAAGTAACTGGGTCAGCAGGCTAACTACTTCATGTTGATGTGTACCCGTGATAGTTTTCTTTAGCATCAGTGGGATACCTGTTGTGCTTTTTCTTAGCATTCACCAGTGGTTTTAACTCTGGCAAACAGTTTTTGTTGTTTGTCCACTTCTGGGCTTCAGCCTTGTTCTAGAACTTGACTTTTATGTTTCACATCCATTTGACAGATATGGCTTATTTGTTTGTAGACTTTTGGTGCCTTGCCTCTTGGGCACATGCACTCAGAATTAGGTAAAGTCCCTAATGACTTTAAAGCCTTTTACGGCATGCTTGTTAGGGGTGCAGTGGGTCTGTTATTCTCCCCCCCCCCCCCCCCCCCCCCCCCCCGGGGCCCCACTGCACAAACAGAATTGCATGTTGTATAGAAGTTTATGATAGCAAGTCACTAGATGTTCAAACCCAATTTTATGCAGTGTGCACCCCTTGTCTGTGCAATAATGGTTTCCATAAAGGAAGCAGCGGCACCTGTGGCTTAGGAGTTGGAGTCCCACTCGTAATTCCAGCGTACTGCAATCGAAACTTACTGCTGGCTGCATGGATTTTTATCGTGGTATGGGGCGTCGCAGGTCAACCCAGCCTAAATGGGTACCTGGATGACTTCCTGGAGAAGTAAAGACGGCCGGCGTAATGCTGACCACATTACCCACCTAGAGCAGATGGTCTATAAAACATGTGTGTGGTCTCCCTTTATAACCGATACGCCTAAAGGCGGAAAAGGGATCTTTACTTTTAAAAGGAAGCAACAAATCTTCTGCTTTGTCCTTTCATATCCCAATGGAGCAAAGGTCTTTATAGACTTTTTCATGATTGGTTGGATTTTGTAGCTAAAATTTTCTACGGTACGAATTAGCCACTAAGATCAACACTTAGTAAAAAAAAAAAACAGTGCCAGTACTCACTGCGAAGTGTCTGTTGCAACGGCGTTTAAAAAAAATAAGATACCTAGAAAGAAGTGCCATGAGTGCTCATTCATAAGAGGTTGAGAGTCGATGTGTAGGTTCTGGGTCCCCATTGTGGGATAAATGAAACTAGACCCACTGCCTGCCCAACAGGCATGTTGTAGGAGTCGACAAATTGTAGACTTCCTTGGAAGTCGGAGCGCATCTGCCCGAGTGGCAAGGAACAACCAATTGCACACACCCAAGTCACTAAGACAGATGTACACACACAACTCAGGCCCTGGCACATAGCCATAATCCACATGGACATCTAGGACTTTTCCGCTGGAGCTTACAGTTAGTGAACAAAGAAGGAGAAGAGGTTGAGAGTGAAAGCAATAAGTATTTAGAGCTGAAGGAGTTAGAACAGAGACATAGTGGAAAAGATGTAGTTAATTTAAAAATTTAGATGCAAAGAGCTAAAATAATACCAGTTTGTGAAAGAAGATAGCAACAGATTTATGTTGTCTTTAGAATGACCAAGAAATGTATGTGTTAATGTCTACCAAGTTGAAACTAGAGCCTCATATAAAATAGTCATCTCTGTTTCCAACACAAATATATTTGTATACTTCTTTAATGAGCATCTGGCCAAGATGCTTAGCATGCTGCGTACACAGGTTCAAATGCCTGGGAAGGTGCTGGATCGCAGTCCATGGTGACTGCACTAACCGTGCAGCCATCAAGACCCCTCCCCTGGTCCTACATCACCAACAACAACAAAAAAGGGGTACACAGACGGCAGCAATGACAGTATTTATTTAAATAATTGTGTTTGGAAGAGCTGCTGGTCTATGGCAGAAGTGGCCTTATAACAAAGGAGCTTTCACCCATCATTGACATCTGGGAAAGCCTAGAAGATATCAATTCCATGCTCAGACAGGACATTGCAGGCATCTATTGTTACCTTGTTCTTTGATAAGTTGCATCTATTGTTACCTTGTTCTTTGAGAAGTTTCATCTATTGTTACATTGTTCTTTAAGAAGTTCCATCTATTGTTATGAGTGGAAGTCAATAAGTAAGTCACAAATGGTTATGGGATGGCAGAAAAATGAAGTTGGTGGTTTCTAAAGGTGTCATTAGGTGACAGCCACATCAAACTTTAAATCTATGTTTGCTAGGTGGCGCATGCACATTCGGAACACATAAATAAATGGCGACTGTACTTACGGAATGTACCTTCAAAGAACAACTTGTTTTGCAGGTGTTTTTTTTTTTGTGTGGGGGGGGGGGGGGGGGGGGGGGGGCAGAAAGGACCGCTGCAAAAGACATTCAGAAGGAAATGCTTTCTTCTTCATGCTGGCAGATGTTTCTCCAGCAAAGCAATGCATAGCTAAGTAGAAAATATTTTTTCCCAAAGTCTCTAAAATTGTTGAGATGCAGTCTGATCTGTTCGTCCTGTTGAGATTTCAACAGGCGCATCCATGCAGCTGTGGATGAGATGAATAAAGGTGACAGGTGAGTAACGGTAGACTCTGTAGCAGCTTCAATAGGGTGCTCACATGGTTGAGCATACATGATCGATTGAAAGTTAAGAAAAAGTGCTCAAACTGGGTAACCAGACAGTTGACGGACGAACACAAAATCAACCAGTTAGGCCTATCCTTGCAGCATCTCTGTCGATATGCAGATGAAGAAGATGACATGCTAAACAGGTTTATTCCTGGGGACGAACCATGGGTGCATTGCTACCAGCCCAAAGCAAAAACACGCTTCAGTGCAATGGAAACATCCTACTTGGCCTTGTAATAAAATATTGCAAGGTTATGCCAACAGCAGGAAAGGTTATACTGACTGTGTTCTGGGTTTGTCAAGAAGTGCTTTTAACCAATTTAAAAAAAAAAAGAGGTGACAATGTGAATACTGATCCATACTGGAAAATTCTATCAATGCTTCATGATGCAGTTCAAAGAAAATGTCCAGGCCTGTTGACTAAATGAGTACTGCTCCTTCATGACAATGCCAGACCACATGTGGCTCGATTAACTCAGGAGAAAATTAACCATCTAGGGTGGGAACTTCTGGTGCATCCACCTTATAGCCCCAACTTAGCCCCTAAAGATTTCCACCTTTTTTGTCCACTGAAAACCGACTTTGGTGGGGAGCTTTTTGCAAATGACACAGAATTAGATGTGAAGTGAAAATGTGGTTTAGAAAACAGAGCACACTGCTCTATGCAGCAGGTTTAGGAGGACTGATAAAACAATGGGGCAATTTTAATGCTGATGGAAATTATGTTGAAAAAATTAAGGGACAGTATATGTGTAACAAAAAACTGTTTTCAATTTGTTATCGGCTTTATTTATTTTTAAATTTTTTTAAACAACCATCTGTGACTTACTTATTGATTTCCCCTCATACATTGTTCTTTGAGAAGTTTTATCTATTGTTACGTTGCTCTTTGAGGTTTCCTGTATTGTTACCTTGTTCTTTGAGAAGTTGCATCTATCATTTTCTTGTTCTTTATGAAGTTTTATCTGTTCCTACTTTGTTCTTTGTGAAGTTTCATCTGTTCTTGCTTTGTTCTTTGTGAAGTTTCATCTCTTGCTACTTTATTCTTTGTTTAGTTTTATCTTTTGTAAAGTTTCTTATACTGTTTTCTTGTTCTTTATGAAATGTCACAAATGTGTTTTTTGTTGTTAGTTCTTTTTGATGTTCCGTCTATTTTTACCTTATTCTTTGAGAAGTTTTGTTGGAGGCAGAAATGTGCTAAGTTTGTAATGTGTCACAAATCAACTTACATACATTTTGATTAGTCAGTTATACTTTTGTTTTGGTTACATTTCTTTTATTGGATTGTTTCATTAAAATACAAATTCAGTATTTTTCTGTCCTGACAATGTATACATGTGTAAAGCAAATGTAGCTCCATGGCAGTTACTTCTGCTGGGGTGCTAAGGTTGTCACTGGCACTATGTATTGAATTAAGCTGAGGTGTTCATTTCTGCTGTTTTACACCAATTTTTGTTTTTCTCTGCAAAAATAATTTTCAGTAAACACAGTTTTCTTCTTCTTGTTCTGTGTTTGCCCTTAAAAGGGCCGTTAGCGTGTTGTGTTGTGGTTTACAGCAAGGCTATGATATCTGCGTCTTTCAGCCCAACACATCCAGTTTCAACACACCCCTAAAATGTCACCTTTTAGGACAGGCTTGTTTGGAGGGCAGGGGGTCTATGCTACCCCCCCCCCCCCCCCCCCCCAACATTAATTGGGCCCTGGAACCCATATTGGGAGATGGTTGTCTGAAACCATTTTACTAGACTGAGTTGACCCCCTAGAGCATGATCCTGGGGGGGGGGAGAGGGGGGATGATCTATCTAAGCCTTGTTTAAGTTGTGCTTTTCCTGTTGAATGCCTTTCATTTGATTTGTTCAGCGGTTGTGTCATGGTATTCAGTGTGGCCAGTTTACGTGTGAGCTGGTGAAATACCTGATGTAATAATTCTACATGTTTTAGATCGAAACAAAATGGAGCTGGGGATTTAATCAGAATTCACTTTAGTGAAAAAGATTAATAAAATCATTTCACAGTTACATTTATAGATAAGAAAAAATATTCTTTTATTCCTTCAAGCGCAAACAAGTTTAATAAGTTTTGTGTTATTGACACACACACAAGCGTGTGCACGAATGTATACACACACACACACACAGAAAGAGAGAGAGAGAGATTGTGTTAAATATAGTTTATAATACACCAAATAAATTAGTTGTGAGAAAAGAAAACGCTATTTTCCTTCAAAATTTAACACTGACAAAATTTTTTATTTAAACTGCTTGCCTTTTGAAGGATGGATTGGGTGGGCTGCAAAGAGGAAGCTAACAAGAAGAAGTCTTGTAACTTATCATAAATATATGTGTAACTTTTCACATACTATGATGGTCTTGCAAAAACTAAATATGTGTAAAATAAAAAGTAAAGGACCCTTTTCTACATTTTTAGGCATATAGGGCTAGACCTATATTTTTATAGACTAATCGGCACAAGATGGGTGATGTGGTCAGCATCACGCCGGCTGCCTTTACTTCCCTGGTGCCCACTCAAGGCTGGGTCGACCTGGGAGCCAAAGTCATTTTTAAAAAAAGTTTGGCTGCGACTAAATTTGTGTGGAGTACATTAAACTACAAGAAGCCATTCTGAGTAAATTAGGGAGATGTATTAGACTTTTTACAGCTATTCTTCAGTGCAGAGATGACACTGGATAATAACTGAAATGATTTCTGAAACTATTACAGCCTTATGTTTGCTGTCACTCCCTGGCGGAGCTGGACTTTTTTCAAAAATGATCTCAGCTCCCAGGTTGACCCAGCCTTGAGTGGGTATTGGGTTTAGTCCCGGGAAGTAAAGGTCGCTAGCGTGATGCTGACCACATCACCCATCTTGTGCTGATTGATCTATAAAATATAGGTCTAGCCCTAAATGCCCTATGAGCCTTAAAGCGTAGAAAAGGGTCCTTTACTTACTTACTCATGTTTGCTGTTATTAAAGGTGCTAACCTCTAAAGTGTAACATATGACTCACAAATGCACATTTCAACTGTTCTCAGAATCTCAGCCTCCATCCATCGGCAAAAAACCCCAGGCTCCTCCACCTATTGGCAAAAAGCCACTAAATCAAAGACCTGTTGAAACAAGACCAGAGCCTGTCGTTCCACCAAACAAACCAGCTGGTTCATTGAGGGATAAGGCTGTATCAAAAGAGAACCACACAGAGAACCAGCACTCTGAAGGTTAGTTGCAAGTGTAGTAGCCAGCAGTCAGGAATTGCTCCTTTTAAACTCACTTTATTTATTGATATAGGGACTGCTGGAAAATGTATGTCTCCTTATGGATTCCAGGGCCCCATTGTGGAGAGAAAAACAAAATAGATCCCCTGCCTCCATAACACGCATAATTGACTAATTAGGGGTTTTTTCAAAGTCGGAGTGCATCTGTCTAGAGAGGCAAGGGACCAACAGTCTGCATACTAATAAATCAGATCTGTAAAATGGAAATGCGCGCAAATCTCAAGTTCTGGAACAAAACTAAAGTCCAGAAGTTCACCGCCAGAATTTTCTGTCAGAGTTTAGAGCCTTCTGAAAGCAAAAAAAGCAGAGCAGCAACATTTTATGGAAGAGATAGAAGGCGACACTTGAAGATTCTTGCCAACCTTTTCTCATATCATGCAAAGGTGTCAGGACCTGAACTCATAAATGCTGTAGGATATCACAAGTTGGGGAGAGACAATATTGCCCACACTTGTTGACAAGGCACATGATGATGCTTCAAGACCAAGTGAGAAACAATACTGTCAGACAGATTGTGGAACTACAGCTGTTCAGATACATTGTCAAACTGAAGATTAAATGGTTGAGCATATTGTTAAAATTTAGCAACAAATTAGGAACCCAGTTTAGAATTTAGCAACACATAGTGAACACAGTTCAGAATTTAGCAGCATATTAGGAAGGTAGTTTAGAATTTAGCAGCACATCAGGAACACAGTTAAGAATTTAGCAACATAGTGAACACAGTTAAGAATTTAGCAACACATAGTGAACACAGTTCACAATTTAGCAGCACATCAGGAACACAGTTTAGAATTTAGCAACACATTAGAAAGGTAGTTTAGAATTTAGCAACACATCAAGAACACAGTTTAGAATTTAGCAACACATTAGAAAAGTAGTTTATAACATAGCAACACATTGGGACTGCAGTTTAGAATTTAGCAACATATCAGGAATGAAGTTTAGAATTTAGCAACTTATTAGGAACACAGTTAAGAATTTAGCAGCACATTAAGAATGCAGTGTGGTCAAGGCCCTTTAGGAACAAGCAACAGAATCAGTAGAGAAAGAAGATTTTTATGGCCTGGAGAGAATGAGGCTCCTAAGTGTAACCAGAGGGTCTGGCCGGCTCACTACACTCAGAGGAAAGAGAAGATGGACTTTTAACCAAATTTTGACCGGTACCATCAGTATTGGAACTCGCTGGCTGCTGAAGATGAGGATGGAGCATGCATGGGAATGCCCCGAGTGCTGTGATATCTTCTTGACTCAACTCAACTCAACATGCAGTTTACAATTTAGCAACACATTAAGAATGCAGTTTAGAATTTAGCAACACATTAAGAATACAGTTTAGAATTTAGCAACACATTAAGAAAGCAGTTTAGAATTTAGCAACACATTAAGAATGCAGTTTAGAATTTAGCAACACATTAAGAATGCAGTTTAGAATTTAGTAACACATTAAGAATGCAGTTTAGAATTTAGCAACACATTAAGAATGCAGTTTAGAATTTAGTAACACATTAGGAATGCAGTTTAAAATTTAGTAACACATTAGGAATGCAGTTTAAAATTTAGTAACACATTAAGAATGCAGTTTAAAATTTAGTAACACATTAGGAATGCAGTTTAAAATTTAGTAACACATTAGGAATGCAGTTTAAAATTTAGTATCACATTAGGAATGCAGTTTAAAATTTAGTAACACATTAGGAATGCAGTTTAGAATTTAGTAACACATTAGGAATGCAGTTTAGAAATTAACAGTACATTAGGAACGCAGTTTAGAACTTAGCAGCACATAAGCAACACAGTTTATGATTTAGCAACACATTTGGAACACAGTTTATGTTAGCAACACATTAGGAACACAGTTAAGGATTTAGCAACACGTTAGGAACACAGTTTAGAATTTAGCAACACATTAGGAACACAGTTTAGAATTTAGCAACATGTTAGGAACACATATACTACATCAAAGAAAATCTGATACAAGATTAAGAAGGTGGCTATGAAGTAGATAAATTTACAACATTGAGGATATTTTTCATTTACATGGATTGCCAGTAATTAAATTAACAAGAGGTATATGTTTCAGTTAAGACCCATCCATATTTCAAAGCATTTACTTTGTAACACCTGGTTGTCTCAGTATAACTGGATGACATCTTCATTTTTTTTAAACACATCTTGATACTTGTCCCTCACTGCTGAAAACACATTCAAGCACAGCTGGAGTTATGTGTTGGTGATATTTTTCCCCTCCATGTATAGAAACTTCTGGAACAGCCTGTGGAATCACAACAATCAATGCCACCCTTTAAGTGCAGAACCATCAACGGTTCCTCCACATAATGTTTGATGGCAAAAGTGGATGATGATGCTGATGATAATGTTGTGGATGTGATTTAAATTGTTGGTCAATAATTGCACTACAAGGGATAACATGGTCGTTTTATGCCGACTACATTTGCTTTCTGGAGATTGGCTCCAGGACCACAATGACTAGATAAGTGAGGCTACAGCTAGAAATGAGGTTCCAGGACCACACTGACTAGATAAGTGAGGCTACAGCTAGAAATGAGGTTCCAGGACCACACTGACTAGATAAGAAAGGCTACAGCTAGAAATGAGGTTTCAGGACCACACTGACTAGATAAGTAAGGCTACAGCTAGAAATGAGGTTCCAGGACCACACTGACTAGATAAGAAAGGCTACAGCTAGAAATGCGGTGCCAGGACCACACTGACTAGATAAGTAAGGCTACAGCTAGAAATGAGGTTCCAGGACCACACTGACTAGATAAGAAAGGCTACAGCTAGAAATGAGGTTCCAGGACCACACTGACTAGATAAGAAAGGCTACAGCTAGAAATGAGGTTCCAGGACCACACTGACTAGATAAGCTAGATAAGTGAGGCTACAGCTAGAAATGAGGTTCCAGGACCACACTGACTAGATAAGTTTCGGCTACAGCTAGAAATGAGGTTCCAGGACTACATTGACTAGATAAGAAAGGCTACAGCTAGAAATGAGGTTCCAGGACCACACTGACTAGATAAGTTTCGGCTACAGCTAGAAATGCGGTGCCAGGACCACACTGACTAGATAAGTAAGGCTACAGCTAGAAATGAGGTTCCAGGACTACATTGACTAGATAAGAAAGGCTACAGCTAGAAATGAGGTTCCAGGACCACACTGACTAGATAAGTTTCGGCTACAGCTAGAAATGAGGTTCCAGGACCACACAGACTAGATAAGTAAGGCTACAGCTAGAAATGAGTAGTCTGAACAAACCACTGGGCTGGTAAGCCGGTGCTTTTCTTGTTCTCTGCTATCTCCAGTGGAGCATAGGCCTTCATTCAGCTGATGCTAAGCCCTTTAGATTAGTTTATAAGAGTAAAGTACCCTTTTCCACAGCTTTCAGGCATATTGGGCATATAGGGCTAGACCTTTATTTTACAGACCAGCGGCACAAGATGGGTGATGTGGTCAGCATTGCGTCATCCCCAGTTACTTCTCAGGACTGCACCTGGTACCCACTCATTTTTTGAAGAAGAAAAAAAGTCAGGCTCCGCCAGGGAGAAAACCCACAACATTCCTATCCGCAGGCGAGCATTTGTCTGCTACGCCACGACGACTCCTCTTAGATTTGTTTATGATTGGTTAAATTTTGCAGCTAAAGATTTATGTCAGGACTCCAAATCTAACCTCTTCACGTGGGTTTTTAGGGGAAAAGAAAAGATCCACAGCCTTCTAACAAGCATATCATCAAAGACAATAATTGTAGGTTTCCTTTTAAAGTTGCAGTGCATCTGACTGAGAGATGAGGGACCATCAGTCTGCATTCAAAAATGTATATGCAAGCAGATCTCAAGTTCTAGAACCAGACTAAATGCAGGAATGGATGTAGAAACAAAACTTTTCGTCAGAGTTTACAGCTTGTAAAAATAAAGAAGAAGAAACAATTCTGACCTACATTTCTATCTTTTCTCACATACCGTTTGCTTCTTCTTGCATACCTGTTGTCTCTTCTCATTTACCTCTGGTGTCTTGTCATTACCTCTGGCCTCTTCCCACATACCTCTGGTGTCTTGTCATTTACCTCTGGCCTCTTCTAATATACCTCTGGTGTCTTGTCATTTACCTCTGGTGTCTTGTCATTTACCTCTGGCCTCTTCTCACATACCTCTGGTGTCTTGTCATTTACCTTTGGCCTCTTCTCATATACCTCTGGTGTCTTGTCATTTACCTCTGGCCTCTTCTCACATACCTCTGGTGTCTTGTCATTTACCTCTGGCCTCTTCTCATATACCTCTGGTGTCTTGTCATTTACCTCTGGCCTCTTCTCATATACCCTTGGTGTCTTGTCATTTACCTCTGGCCTCTTCTCACATACCTCTGGTGTCTTGTCATTTACCTCTGGCCTCTTCTCACATACAATTATCTAATCTTGTATTTGGGTTGCCTGTTCTCATAACTCTGTTCACCGCTGTGGTAAGAATCCCTCCAGGTAACACAGGTGCTGTACCGTCGCTGACACAGCTACCAAGTTGTGGGGCTAGATTCTGAACTCACATATTTCTATTATCTAGTCTTGCATTTCTCTTATATAGTCTGTTTATACCATTTTGTGTGTGTCTAAACAGCCCAAGTATTTGAGGATATCGAGACAGCAGGACAGAAGCTGACCCATCTGACCTTTGGCAGAGCCAAGGGACCCAAGAAACGACCACCATCCACGGTTCTCACTCTTAACGTATGCATGCTTGCATGGCTTCTAACATTGCTTACATTTAATTGTAGCTGTTGTGTTTGTGGGCCACTGCAAAAGTATCTGCTTGTTGTACTGACATTGTGGAGTCTTTAATATTGTAATGTTCATCCATTATATTATTATTTATAGATCTTTGTAGAAGTGTAATGAGGGGGGGGGGGGGGGGGGGGGGGGGGGGGGGGGGGGGGGGGGGGGGGGGGGGGGGGGGGGAAGGGGGGGGGTCCACTTAGAAGATGGGGATTTGTAGTATGGTTTATGGATTTGCTTTTTTGGAGGTTTACCTCTTCTGCTTCTCCTCCTCCTGCTCATTCTTCTTCACCTTGAACTCTTTCAGTTCCGGACAATGTGTGGTGTGTGTTTAAGTCTTCTGTGAAACCTACCAAATGTGTAATATGCTCTCATATTTTGTACATTTGACCAGAGTGTGCAAAGAAAATCTGGCTAGCAGTATTAAGATTCTGTGAAAGTAATATACTCACCCATCCATCCATTTATGAAATTAAAAAAAAAAAAAAATTGATGACGTTCAACATACTGCAAGCCGTATTGGCTACAGTTGTGGCCTGGTTTTTGTGTGCCAGTTATATTGGCTAAGAAATGTCAATGCACCTAAACTAGTACTTTGCCTGAAACTCTAGTACCCAGTGAGGGTTGTTGAGGAGAGTGCAGGTATGCACTATACACACCCACACACACACACATATATAGACATACATGTACAGTTACATATTATTTATACTAATGGGCATTTCCTATATGTCAGTTGAGTACTCCCCCGTGTGGGTTCCGGGGCCCCATTGTGGGGAAAACAAGAATAGACCCACTGCCTCCCCAAAAGCATGTCGTAAGAGTCGACTAATTGGGAAGCTTCCTTTGAAGTCGGAGTGCATCTGTCGGAGAGGCAAGGAACCAACAGTCTGTATTCAAGAGAATGAGATCTGTAAAACTGATGCACACGCAACACTCAGGTTCTGGAGCAGGACTGCAGTTCAGTAGTGGACGAGCAACCAGAACCTTCCGCCAGAGTTTACAGCTGGTGAACGTGAAGAAGAAGAAGAAGAAGTTTAGTACTCAGTGAGTTAAAGAGGCAGTTGGCAAACTGCATAATGGTTTATAGCTACACTATAGTAGCTTACACTCTTTGAGTCTTTTTTTTCAACATTTTTAAAGGTCTGTGTCCTCCTCTTTCCCTCAGTTGGGGCCTCATGGAACCAACTTGAGGTTACAGCATGGTTCTCAACTTTCCTAATGCTGTGACCCTATAATATAGTTCCTCAAGTCGTGCTGACCACAACCATGATATTTTGTTTCGTTGCTGCTTCATAACTTAGTGAATATGTGTTCCGATTGTCTTAGGGCGACCATTGTGAAAGCCTCGTTCGATCCCCAAGGGGGTCTAGACCCACAGGCTGAGAACCTCTGGGTTACAGGATGTTCATATTGAAACTATTTTCTGGTATATTTTAGTGTTACATGTTGATGATAGTTATGTCACAGAGTACATGGTATCATTTAGAATGTTAGGCCGTGTATGTGGGACTTTATTGTTTGACCATCTTTGTTGGCTTTCTGGAAGATAATTCATTTAACTATATTTCTTAGGCAGTGAAAAAAAAGACTTGCCTCCTATTTTTACAGTATTTGATAGTTTCTTTTTGATTATTTGAACTTATAGAAGACTGTTCAGTTCATGATGTGTATTATGTTATATAGGTAAGAACTGTTTTAAAAAATATTCTTTATTAGTATCTGTTTGATTCTCAGTGGTAACCCAACCTTATGGAAACTAGAAAATGATTGAGTTCACCGTGTGCTGCCTTTTGTTTTTCGATCTTGATAGACTCATCATTGTGTTGTTGTTGTTCCCCCTTCCCCCACCCCTCCCCCACCCGAATGAAGTTGCCTTTTCAGCGATAAGCCAGGTCTTCCAATCGTTCATTGAAATGGCACCTAGAAATAAACTTGTCCTTATTTGCATGTTTCCTTGGTTGTGCCCATCATAGTTCCTACCCTGTGTACATTGTAACACTTATAACTGTGTTGTTATTTTTATTTTAAAATGTACAATCATATATAAAACATATTAGTAATGAACGTTTCAGACTTATACAAAGCTACCAAGTAAGATCACAGTTCCCTGTGTGTGTTATAGGGGGCACATTCATTAAGGTTGGGGGTGGGGGGGGGGGGCACAGCCTTGCTCACAAGCACGACATGACTAATTAGAGGGTTCCCTTCCAAGTCGGAGTGCATTTGCCTAAGAGGCAAGGAAGGAACCAGCAGTCTGCATGCAGATAAGCCAGATCTCTGAAATGGTAAATGCACTCTGAAAGAAACATCCCTCATTATTCTCCTTTTATGACAGGCTTGTCAGAGGCTGGGGAGTCTGTTTTTTCCCTACTAAAATCATACCCCGAGTCCAGAAAGGGATGTAGATATATAAAGTTGTAATTGCACTCTATTTTATTAGCATGTAGAATTAAAGCATAGTTCTAGGCTGCTTTTGTACAGTTTCTAATTCCTAGTGGTTTCATTAGTCTGTAGAATTATAATGTCTGGATTGTGTCTTAGTCTTATTCAAAGTTTCATCATCACCGAAATCGGGTTTCCTCAAACTTGCTCCGTTCCATGATTTTTTTGAAAATCAAATAAAATATCCCTCACTGTCACATTTGAAAAACTGGTAAACAAACAATTAGTCCTGGAACAATCCACAAAATATGCACATGCAGTAAAGCATATGGCAGTTTATAGAGGTGCCAATGCCAACAGTCGCCACCTGAAATTCAGTTTGTTGATGATGGAAGTAGACATACACGATAAGATGGCTATACGTTCCTAGAATATTGCATAAGGTATTTCACCAGCTCATATGTACACTGACAACCAGCGATATTGAATACCACAACTCAGCCACTGCACAAATGAAAGGCATTCCACAGGAAAAATACATTTCACAGGGCTGCACCAAGTACTAAACTCAGGCAGTGAAACAATAGACTACCGTCCATATGTGGAAACTGCATTAGCTGCTAATTAACTTTAAAGCTTAACATTCTGCCATACCTGTCCTCCATTTTTGTTGTTTCTTAGAGTCTGTCTTAATACAGTTCCAGTTTGTATCAAAATAATAATATAAATAGCTGTGTCATAGTAACGCCACATGGGATTTAGAGTCCGTAGAGCTATAATGTCACAGTAGTGAGCCATATTTCTAGTGTTGTTGAGCAGCAAAGTCATGATTGTGGATTATTTGATTAGAGTGCAGTAGCAGTGTTGAAGATCACAGGTTGTGTAAGAGGCATGAATGTAATGCCAGTCAGTGAAGCACTTGATGATGATGGGTATGGTGATGAGAGTGATTATATGACAGGGCTATTCAACTCAATGTTATAAGTAGATCATATGACAGGGCTATACAACTCAGTGTTATAAGTAGATCATATGACAGGGCTATACAACTCAGTGTTATAAGTAGATCATATGACAGGGCTATTCAACTCAATGTTATAAGTAGATCATATGACAGGGCTATTCAACTCAGTGTAATAAGTAGATCATATGACAGGGCTATTCAACTCAGTGTTATAAGTAGATCATATGACAGGGCTATTCAACTCAGTGTTATAAGTAGATCATATGACAGGGCTATTCAACTCAGTGTAATAAGTAGATCATATGACTGGGCTATACAACTCAGTGTTATAAGTAGATCATATGACAGGGCTACTCAACTCAATGTTATAAGTAGATCATATGACAGGGCTATTCAACTCAATGTTATAAGTAGATCATATGACAGGGCTATTCAACTAGGTTCACTTAGGGTTCAAAAGGTTGCAAGTGGGGATTGTTACGGACCACAGGCCCGAGTCTCACTGTAATACAATACAGTTTGTACTGATCCATGGGCCACTTGATAGGCCTCTGCGGGCTAGATTTGACCCGTGGGCCGCCAGTTGGTTAGTCCTGTCATTTGAGATAACTGATTTATAACACTTCTGTTTTTTTTTTTTTTAGAATTGCTTTTAAAAGACCCCTTTTCATGCCAGTGGCACATCGGGCATATGAGGTTAGATTCATATTTTGGCTCTCCTCCGAACTTCTACCCCCGCATTATGGCGGCTGAACAAATATCCTTACAGGGCTCAGTCCAATTAAAAATATTGCGAACTTCCGCCGACGAACGAATCGCGGCAAAACTAGGGTCGGCTCCGTATAATGAAACAAATGCTCTAACACGGTCTCAGCGATATGTTAATTGCGGACCTGTTTCTGTGACTATGCCTCACCGCCGACAGTATTCTCCGCGCCGCTACGGGCAGCGCGGATGGGGGCTAAACTAGATGGCTGGGACTCACGAGCAGCAGCTACCGTATCTTCCGCAACTTCCTCCAATTAATTTGCTCGTGAGTCCAAGGCATCTAGTTTAGCCCCCCATCTGCGCCGCGCGTAGCGGCGTGGGGGATACTGTTGGCGGTGAGTGTAACTGCCTTTTGCACATGCCAAAACATTTGAGGACAACAACGACGCTAATCTGCATCGGCCCACTTGGTTTCCCCGCCATGTCGCTTTTGTCATCTGCAGAAACGCTCCAAAGTGTCAACGGTCGCTATTTTCGTCTGCTACTATCGTCTGCAGTGTTGAGTCTCTTAAAATTATCAGGTAATCAGACACAATAAGAAACATGTCCACTATTACCATATCGCTGAGACCATGCTAGAGCATTTGTTTCGCTATACGGAGCCGATCCTAGTTTTGCCGCGATTCGTTCGTTGCCGGAAGTTTGCAAATTTTTATTAGGACTGAGCCCTGTAAGGATATTTGTTCCTCCGCCATAATGCCGGGGTAGAAGTTCGGGGGAGAGCCCATATTTTTAATAGACCAACCCACCCTCGATTGGGGATGTGATCATCATCATTCCAGCCGCCTTTACCTTCCAGGACTTTACCTGATAGCCATATAGTTGCTTTTTGCTGTATAATTCTCATTTGGTGGAAGCAGATTTGCTTTTGCTAGATCATATTGTTATCATGTTGGGGCTTGTTTAGCTTATAGCTTAGACAACACTCTGTCATGACCCTTGCCTTCCTAAGGGGCTTGATTCCACAGTGGGCATTTTAGAAAAGACGGTTCTTACGGCTGTTTGACAATGGTGTGAAAGTTGCAACGTGGAAGATATAGGGACCATACCGCCCAGTATTCCTAAAGACCACAGTGGATACACATATCTACCAGGCCGACCTTCCTTGTGGAGGCAGCACTAACATGCTGGTGTTATATTTGTGTTAATTGCATGCCTCATCAGTCAGTCAGGTGCCATCTCCACAGTGAAGGTTGGCTGCAGTGGATCTCCAACATGCTCTTGTCTTGGTTGCACACTCTCTCAAACTGCTGTTCGTCCATCTCTTCCCACTTGTATCATTGTCTTCCTCTTGCTTTCTTGCCCTCGATCTTTCTGTCTAGTATGGGTTTTAAAAGAGTATTATGTCTTTAAATGGGGCCAGAATATTACAGTTGTCTCTTTTTTTTCTTCATTAACTTTCTCTTCATTCACAGTCTCTCCTAAACCTCTGCATTTAATAGTTGTTGTTTCCATGAAATACGTCTTAAAATTGCTCGTGTGGATAAATTTATAAAAGTTATGTTGTACATATGTGAGTGTATCATGTATCTAGCAGACAGTAGTTTCCTTTTACATAACATATACATACATACCAGTTTGTGTATCTAGCAACCACTTTTGTCTGGTTTGTTTTTCAAATATGGTCTATCATTTCCAAGTGTTTTGTTTTTAATGAAACAAAATGTGGTCATTTTGGTCACTTTTGAGAAAAACAGTGTTTTGTTTTGTTTCTGCCACTATTAAGAAAAATATGGTCTCTCGCTTGATATAATTATAGAAATGTGTGACTTTTTATGAAGTGTTTTTGTTTGAAACACAGACCAGTGTTGTTAAGATGTATGACTGTGGAAACCTTTCATTCAGCCACATCTCTTTGGTCAATCATCATCTTCATTATAGAGTGCCATTAAACACATGAAGGGCTTGAAGTCTGTTCCTCCATTCCATTCTGTCCTGAGCAATCCTGCCCATATCGTGGATACATTCCAGTCCAACACTTATGGCTTCTCTCATTAGTGTCTGTTGTAGCTTCTCTTGGGCAGTCTCTTTCCTCTGTTCATTCGTTTCCCATTTCACTGTCTGTTTAGTGATTCTCTGCTGGCTTATTTTCACGATGTGGCTAGTGTAGCATCAGCTTATTTGTTTTATAACTGTTGAAACCAGTGGTTCAGAAAACGTGTATTTGTTATTTTAACCACTAGATATCACAAGTTTTCGAAAACGCTGAGTAGTCATAATCTTGTGTTATGCTTTGGCATCACCATTTGTATTCTCTGGTCTGTCTCTTGGCCACTTTTTTTTAAACTTTAAATGTTAATGTGCTTTTCTGGTGTGGGGTTACGAGACCCCACTTTGGGGGACAGAAGAATATCTCCATTGCCTCCACTGACAGGCATGTTGTAAAACTAAGGATTTGTTGAACTTGGATGTGTTGTGCTGAAAAGTGCAGATTGTGCAGCCTTGCTGCAAACCACACCATGTCAGCCTTCATTTTAACGGCGAACACAGAAGAAGAAGTTATGCTTAAATTATCTGATATTTGATGCAGACCAGATGAGTATAAATTAACAATTACTGAAGTGGTATACTTTCCTATAACTTCTTCTTCTTTGCGTTCACCTGCTGTAAACTCTGGCGGAAAGTTCTGGTTGTTCCTCCACTTCTGGACTGCCGTCCTGTTCCAGATTTTGAGTGTTGCGTGTGCATACGTTTGACAGATCTGACTAATTTAATTTGCAGACTGTTGGTTCCTTGCCTCTCAGGCAGATGCACTTTGACTTTGAAGGAACCTCCCAATTATTCAACTCTTTTAAGACATGCTTTTGTGGGCATGTTCTTTTTTCCCTGTTACAGGGCCCCGGAACCCGCACGGAGATTTCCTACAGCTTATTTGTTTTGTAACATTCTGCTTAACAATTTTTAGTTTAATAAATGTTGCTTTTCATTAAATGCAAACTTTGTCCTCATTATGAGACAGATAAATAGCTAATTTATCAATATATCTCAATAACAAACATAACTAGCATCTATCTTCTGCTATTCCTGTAACTTTTAACGAAGTCATGCTCTGCTTTTACCTAGCTGCATGCTAACATCTAATGAAGCTATCACTTATGTCTTGTTTAGTCTACCTGTATGTTAAAACCTTAAGGTGGAAGGCAAGGTCGGCAGCAGATATTTCATACATTTATAATGGGAGACCATCACTCATGTCTTACTTTTTAATTTTTTTAAAATACGGTTCCTAAATGTCTTTAAAAAAATTGTGTAATGTAAATCAGGTTTAAAAATAATTTTTTTTTTTTTTTTTAAAGTAAGAAGTAGTACTGAAATATTACTGTCTTAAACATAAATGAAAATCTTAAACATAATTGAAATCTGTAAAGAAGAAGAAGAAAATTCTCCTCAGTATTGTCAGTTTTCTGAGAGGGGCCTCAATAGCGCAGTCGATAGGAGACTCACTTTCAAATCCAGCTGCGACTCGCTGCAGCCCATGGCCGATGTTTGAAACCGGGCGGTTCCCGGGTCACCCATTTCTTTAGGTAATGGTTACCAGAGTTAAAACTCTGGAGTAAATGGAGGAACGTCGCTGTAGCTACGGTGTTGCATGCGGACGGCGACACAGGCGGACAGTTTCTTATCAGCTGTCCGTACTGGTGGCAGAGCACTTATGGTTTATAACCGTGTGCAGTGACGCTGGCTCACATCTCCCGACTTTACGTTTTCTGAGAACATTTGAGGCCGGGGATATAAATGAATTTGTAACCTTTCCTCTGCTTCTGAAAGTGCCAATCAGTATATACATTTATTTACCATTCCGCCCCCCCCCCCCCCCCCCCCCCCCCCCCCCACCCCGCCCCCCCCCCCCCCCCCCCCCCCCCCCCCCCCCCAATGGTCATATGTACCCAACAAAAAATATGTTAAACACATTAGGTTTACAGGTCATTCATGCATAAAATCTGAATGTACTTTTTTCTTTAAAGGTTGAGGATGGGGGATATCAAGATGTTCAAAAGTTGTAACCAGTAAACATGAACAGAGTCAAGCATTCAATGGAATACATTCCCCAGGGGCCTAAAAACATGTGTGTTCTTGATTCATGCCTTGAATCTGTGACGAATATCATCACTGCAGCTTGGCTTTAAAGAAACAACAACAACACACATTTAGTTGTAAGCAAAAAAAGAAAAAAAAACCTGAATACAATTTGTAATTAATATACTTACATCCTGAACCCATAAATGTTTGTGCGGTATGAACAAAGCTAATAGCATTAAGTGTACCTCTCATAAACAAAACACTAAAGAAAAGTAGGAAAAGTTACATTAACATGCAGTTGACCCTAACCGGACGTTCCAGTTTTGAAGAGTTAACAGATGCCTATTTGTTTTTCTTTTTTGTCTCATTCTTGGCTAAATCTAGATGTACCCTTATTTCTTTGTTGTCTTTTCACTTCATGCCTATCTCTAGTACTGCACATTAACATACATTTAACCTCTGCCCTGTCTTTCTCTGTTGTCTTTTAAAGGAAGGAGAAAAAGACAGTGATTTCCCTGAAGAGATTAAGAACAGCCATGCTCCCACGGCACAGGAAAAACAACATTCTCATCTGCCAGAAAAGCCGGACAAACCGTATCCAGTTACACACCCAAAAGATACCAAGCATGTAAGTATTGGGATGACTTACCTGGCAGGAAAATATAGTAGAGGGACTGTGTTCAGAATTTGAACCCAGGATCTTGCCACCAATTTGACTAAAGTGCTGGAGATTACGAGGAGTGCCCTGGTCAGGGGATAAGATTACAGGTCTGTAAAGTTGGAGACATGGGTTTATTCCTCTGTAAAGGATGGAGATTTTTTTTCTGTGCAAAGCAAAAAATAAAATGTTAACCTGTACAGTTCGTGGTGACTGCACTAGCCAGGTGGCCTTAAAACCTCAGGCCAGCCAAGAATAGGCAAAGGCAGACAGACTTAAGATAATTTGGTATCCACGAGCTTGTTAAAGTGAATCATTTGCTTCTCTGAAGATGTGAAATTCATAATCTGTCTGATTCTTTCGTCATAAATTGCATTGTTTCCTTATTCGTGTAACCTGGTGTAAACTACTCTGACTGTAGTTAAACTGCCTTTAACTAAAGACAGCACAAAATATGATGCGGAAGTTCGGTGGAGAAAAGGAGAAGATGTACACAAGTACAGCTGGGACCATTACGTCCAGTCTTTATCAACAGACAAAATGACAGACTAATTAAACAGCCAACAATGTCAGCCTGGAACACTGTTGCGCTTTCTACTCGTGGTTTGTGTTGTGTAGTAATTTCTTGATTTCAGCTCCACTACAGTAACTCCTGTTTAAATTATAGCTAGCTTCAAGTATTCTCTAGCTTATTTTCTAACTCAATTCTCCAGTAGCCAAGATTAACTTGTTCTTTTCTTAACTCCTTTGTGAAAAGTGTGCTTACTAGCAACCTAAGAGCTAGATATCCATATTTCTTAGTGTTATATTTATACATTTACCAATTATAATGATGCATTTACAAATTATAAATACTTAACACAGCTGCATTAACAAAACAGATCAAGCTATTGACAATTGTTTGTTTTGTATAATACTTTTGCAAACTGCTTCATCATAAAATTTGTTGAAGAAGTAATCATAAATGCTTGTTCTAAAAGTTTTGAGACAGTTGAAGAATATCAAATGTAAAGTAATTGTTACTTCTAGCAGTTGCAGATACAGTCTAAGACAGTGATGTTTGCGCATGTGCACAGTCTAAAGGCAAGCATGAGAAGCACACCGGACGCACACAAAGTCTTGTTAACCAACATAGGACTGGTACTGTTAACGGCATGACGCTGATGAATATGTTGAGAGGGGAATCTGAGCGCCTATAGATGTGTCTGGAGTGCTGTGATGATAATCTAACTCATAACTCATAACTATCTCTATACTGCGGGATGTTCTAAGAGACAGAAATGTAGGGTGTCCCATGTTCTCCACCCTGTGAGACAGTTCAGATATTAAGGAAAACTTCACTAGAAAGCAGTAGCAAACATAATCATTGGGATAATGGGTGCAAAGGCCACAATAACTGTCCGTACACCCCAACGTTTTATGAGGAAGACCAAGTACACACAAGTGTGTCCCAAGTTTTTCAGTTCAATATTTCTGAGATTCTGGGGGGTGGGAGGTTGTTTCTGGAGTGTGTTCATGATTTGGCTTTGTTCTCATTGGGAGACCAGCCCTATTGTGGAATGAGAACAAACTGTGAGATAAACCTGGACATGCTTGTGTGTAGGGTAATGAACGATTGGACCAGTTGGCAAGCAGTGCACTAACACTTAAGGAAAACAAGAAGCATAGAGGGAGCAGATATAACAGCGCTGCACAGACTAGGCAGTTGGAAATGATGACATGAATAATGAAGATTATATGTGACAAAACATGAGGTAATAAAGTTGAGCCTCTCACTTTTAAACAAATAAAGAAGTTTGCCTAGTTTTCCTTTAGATGTACTAATGTTATACCTTACTGGACTTTCAGCAGCCTCAACACTCCACAGAGAAGGAACCCACCAGCCACATCCATCAACACACCCCTGCCACAGCTTCGTTGAGAGACAGAGAGCTACCCTCACAGCCATCTCCACCACGACCACTAGAGCCATCCACAGGTTCGCTGTCTGCATAATTTATTTACTTCATTATTACATAAGAAGTCTTCAAACGGAAAACCTAAACAATGTGTTAGAAATTACAGTAACCATCTCATTGTTTTTAACCTGTCAATACTGTTAAGGATGTCAAGAGTGTTAAGTATGTGACATCACAGTGCAGACAAACACAATGATGTCATAATGACAGTTTAAAGATGGCTGCCCCACTTTGGACATGCACCAAAGAAGAGCAGTGTTCTGTTATCTAGGTTTCCTTTTAAATCAGTGAAAGGGTAGTGAGCCCAGGTTTCATGTTCAGTAACAATTCTTGATGTGAAACTATCACCTTCTGCTTGTGAAACTATCACCTTCTGCTTGTGAAACTATCACCTTCTGCTTGTGAAACTATCACCTTCTGCTTGTGAAACTATCACCTTCTGCTTGTGAAACTATCACCTTCTGCTTATGAAACTATCACCTTCCAAGCACTGCAAAATTCTTAACACACATCAGTGCATCATTTTAATACAGGAGTAAGCTGCATGTGAGACACTGCAGTACTGTATCATGGGTAATGTGTTATAATCGGCAGTCTTCCTGTACGAGACCTTCAACAGCTACAGTCAGCCGTAGAGTCAGCTCTTGGTGTGCCTGACCCGGTCGGGCAAAGTCAATCACAAAAGTCAAATCATTTTGAAACTTCCGACCCCACTCGTACACTTGCTGGACGGACAAACATGCAATCCCATACTGGACCTTCATTCGTGGATTACTTTCTAGTTTTCACTCCTTCACTGATTAAAATAAAAAAGGAATGCTACTTCTGGTTGGTGCCTAGTGACATCACCATGTTTCTCTGCACTGTGACGTCCCTTCTTTATATCCTTAACAACCGTATTGATAAGTAACAAGACAGTGGCATGATTATTGTAATTTCTATCGCACTTTTGTATATATTAATTGATTTTTTTTTTATTAAAACGTCCTCATAATTTACAAAAAGGGGAATATCCTGATACTAACCTCTTAACACTGACAATGCCAATTTGTTGTAAAAATAAGGCCGACAACATATAAGTGTGCTTCAAGGAACTCAGAGTCCTTTACTTATAACCTCCTCCTGCCAGTATATGCAGGAGGGCAAGAGAATAAAAGAGCAGATCTTTTGGCTACAAAACTGTTGGCTACCGGAACACTCATAATGGACAGAGGTGACATTACAAAGACCATTTATGAAAGTATGTGTTTCCGCTTAGGTTTCCTTTAAATATGACCCATTCTTTGGAGTATCCACATCTCCTGAGTCTCAATTCAATTTTATAATTGCTACTTCATTGTCCAGATTAGGTTCAAGTAGGAAATAGTGTTGAGTAGACATAACTTTTGACCGTTCTCATTTTTATTGTTAATTTCTCTTAATCAGAGACAACAGACCTTTTTCTTCCATTTGCGAAGAACCATTTAAATATTTTTTTAAGCATCCTAAAAATTAGCTTGCTTTTTGACTAAAGAGTTCATTGCAGTTGCCTTGGTATTGTCAGACCACACGATTCTGTAAGTCTTGAATGGCCCATAAGTCAGACTACCAATGCCTTCTGATGTGAATATTTTTCTCATGTTGTTTCTCATGTTACCTACAGATTTTAGAATTTTTGTTTAAATAACCTGTCAATTTATAATGGGAGGCATTCCCCCTAATTCAAACCGTCTCCTGTTAGTTCTATGAACACCTTATGGATATTCACAATATAACTTTTAAATGCTGTCCATTTTCAGTAGTTGTACCCCCAAGGCAAAATCAGCATCTCAGTTACTGCCATAAAATCACACTCCGCTGATCATACCAGTTGCCTCACCTTTAAAAAATCACTTTATTTGTAGTTTCAGCATTCTCAGGGATTGCATTCTCCGTCCTGCAGGGGTCACTGTTAAGCACGCCTGAATTTAATTTTTATTTTACTTGTTATAATTTTTCTTTGTTTTTCAGATACCTTCTTATTTGTTTTTTTCCATATTAAAGACTTTCATGTGCATGTTTTCTGTAAACAAATTTCTGATTCCATGTTGATCTTGGTTACCTATAAGCTTCATTGTTTTGTCTGTTAATTATTAAAGGAGCGCTGTACATTGGAAGTCACTGATATGTTTCTGTTTCACCAGCGCCCCCAGCACACACCAGCTCGATGCCCAGTATACAGATGAACAAATTGATAGAACAGCTACAGCGAGAGATCAATGAACTGAAAGCCAACTCTGTGAGCAAGGCCTCATTCAGTGACTTACGATTAGAACATGAGAAACTCAAGTCTGATTTTGAAAACCTGAAGAACAACCACTCCAGTAAAATTCGTGACCTGATGAATGAAGTGGACGAAGAAAAGAAGCTGCGGCTAACCACTCAAGTTGAAATAGAGCGTGTGAAAAAGTTGATGTCCGAGACCCACGTCTGAAAGAGTATATAAATGTATACAAGCTTTTAACTAATTATTTAAAATGATAATTTGCGTTTATTTTTGTGGCTATTGCAGTATGTACAAAGATGCTCTTATGGTAATTATTCCTTGCTAGTTCCGTCGTCATCCTCTTTTTATCCTTACAAGTATTCCAGTTAGTTGTGATATAGGTGATGCAAGATAAATGTTTGTGAATGAGTTTGATTGATTTTGAACCTGAGTTTGCCATGTTTGATTAATTCTGCACTGAATAATGGCTATGTTTGATTGATTCTGAACTGGGTTTGATCAGTTCTGCACTCAATGGCCATGTTTGATTGATTCAGCACTGAGCCTGACATGTCTGATTAATTCTGCACTGTATGGCCATGTTTGATTGATTCTGTACCAAGTCAGCCATGGTTAATTCTTCACTGGGTGGGCCATGTTTTGTCTGATTCTGAACTGAGCTAGCCATGATTGATAGATTCTGAACTGTCAGCCATATTTGATTGATCCTGCACTAATCTGGCCATGGTTGATAGATTCTTAACTGAGTCGGCAATGTTTGATAGATTCAACCCTGTTTAGAAGCCAGGATTGAAAGTTAGGTTGTCATGGGTACATGACAGAAGTTATTGAAATGTGTAATTCACATATTCAGAGTCTGTTTTCGTAATTAAATATATGTCCAGCTGGGGTCTGAATCTTCGGTAAAGTGATGGAAAAGTTTTTCTCTTGATGGCAAACATAAACACTGTGACCTGCACAGTCCATGGCAACAACACAAGCCACATGACCTTAGACCCTCAGGCTCTCGACCCTCATGACCTACACTGCCCTAAAAAGTAGTAAATACAGGCACCAAAGATATCTGTTTTTTTTGTTTTTGTTTTTTCAGGTTGATCATACCTTGAGAAAATTGGTTTTAAATTGTCAGTAACTTTATTTGATATTTTGTTAAAAAATGTCTTTCTCAAACTGAGCCATGGTAGCATGCCAGCTGCATGACCTGGAGTTCCATCTCTTGAGAATGTAGATAATGGAATGTCAAAAAATGCTTATAGGGATTTGAAAGGGCAGACATTCTTTAGGGAACAGAAATGGCAAATAAGAAATCATTATTCTGTAGAAGATATGATTCTATGGTTAGTTTCCTTTGCAGGACATTGCAGAACCAACCCCAACAGCCCCTGGCTGTTGTGTTATTGTTCTATAGAATATATAAATCAGTGATTCTGGTCTTGTTCTTCTTCAGCATTCTGAGCCCTTGAGGTTCATTGCTGCAGATATCACCTGCCTCCATTCATCTCTCTGCTTGGCCTTCTTCAGCATTCCGAGCCCTTGAGGTTCATTGCTGCAGATATCACCTGCCTCCATTCATCTCTCTGGTTGGCAACCAAGTGTTTGCTGGTCTGTCTGGATATTATCTCTCTATTGTCTTCTTGGTCTGCCTCGTGGTCTATTTCAATATGCCCCAACCATTTCAGTCTATTAGCTCTCATGATGCCAGTGACCAGTGATGATTTAAACAGATTATTAATTTAGTTGTTGCATCTCACTCTCCATTCTGGTAGAGAAAAAAAAAAGTAGGATGAGTTTGGTATCAAAATAGGCATCGTGGTAAAGTCCTGGGAAGTAAAGGCAACTGACATGATATAGATGACATGACCCAAAGTGTGCCGATTGGTTTATTAAAAAATCATGAGCCTAGCTTCATAAACCCGATAAACCACTTGCATAAAAAAATGGGCCTTATTTTTATATTTGTGTGTGTTAACTGACATAAATAAAAAATATCATTATTTATATGAAATCAGACATTTGGGCTGTTGACATCTTTTCCCCCTAATAATTTTTTTTAATGACTTTTTCTTTCCCCTGAAATTTTGTTTAACCCGTCCTTATAATTATCTGAAATTGGACCCTGAGAAACTAGAAGAAGAGAAGAAGCAGCTGAAGAAATCTTGAGTCTTGGTCAGTTTTAAATATTCAGGGATCAAACCCCTAGACCACTGAGCAGACAGGCAGGCATAATCTTAACTGCTTCATTGAAGATGTCATGTCTCTATAAACAAATATCTTTTTTTTTTGTTTTTTGTTAAATTATTTAAGTAATACAATTGGAGCAGAGAATCAGTTGATTTCCTTCTCTTTAACCATATAAAATAGTTTTGGTAACTTTTTCCTCAGAGCATTGTGACTCAGTTTTGAAATGATTGTAGGTCACAATACAATTTGTCTTCTTTGTACTTGCATGTGGTTTCTTCATATTTGTGACATCTGGTATGTCTTGAAAATAGCTGGCACTATTAATATTTATGCCACATTTGATTATAGTAAAGCAACACTGAATTAAATTATGTATAAATCACCACAAAGTGCTGGCATTATCTTCTTCTTCTGTGTTTACTGGCTGTAAGCTCCGGCAGAAAGTCCTGGTTGTTCATCCATTTGGACTTTGGCTTTGTGCCAGGGCATGAGTTTTGCGTGTACCTATCTGTTTCACTGACTTGTTTGTGTGCAGTTGGTTGTTCCTTGCCGCTCTGGCAAATGCACTCTGACTTCGAAGGAAGTTTCCAGTTA